TCTTGGGGAATCCTGTAGATGGCTCATTCCTTATGTCGTCCGCGTCTGTTCTGCATCCTGGGGCACAACAGGAATCTACCATATTTCCCGTTTGATTGAGTTTTCTGACAATAACAAATAGTCCAGCTGCCGGCTTCTGCATGCCAATATGGCGCCGTTTCGATTTGAACTGTTGCATGCCGGGAGAAGTGACGTCAACTCCCGGAGCTCTATAGACACTGGGATATTTAAATCAGAAGATTGGACCTTTTTATTGCGGGGAATTTAGATAACAATTTGCATTAACTGAGAGACAAGAGAAGAGAGAGAGACCTTCAAACGTTTAAGGAAATTTATTACTAAATAATTTTAAACAATTTAACAGTACTAACTCTCTTAATGATGGATGTTCTGTTTGAATGAAGTGCGAGGTGAATGGTGTGTGGTGAATGAGTGTCATTCAGAACCCTCACATCTGGAGAAACAAAGTCTGAGTGGGAGATGATGTTTTGCTTCTAACTGATCAGAGTTTGAGACTCGTAGTCATAAACACATGAGACGCCATTTATGTCGCATCCACACACCCTCAGTGAGACCTCCGTACAGATCCAGATGCCAGGTCCACGACCCTCCTCTGTTACTGGAGCCGATGAAGCAGCGTCGACAGTACGACAACCCAGTCTTTGGATAGTCTCCAGGTAAAAAAAAACGTGGCTGGTGTTTCACAGCGTCAAAAAGAGACCCTCCTTGGGTCAGCGAGTTCAGCTTTTATTCTGAAAGGTACCGTTGCTTGGTTGGTAACAAAACAACAGAATTTTCCCAGCTTGAATGGTTCTCAGCTTAAAAAGAGAAGTACAGATGGCCTGTCCATACTTCACTTCACATGCGGTGAACTTCATGGGATCTTGAGAACTGAACTTAAGCTGGCGGAACTGTTTTATTAATCTGGATGTTTTTGATTCTGGACGAATCAAAGCTGACAGATTTAGAGACACCACAGAGACTCTGCCACGCTTCAGACTAGGAAGGCTCTGATTGGATCAGTACAGCAATGTGTCACGTGATTGTTTTCCTTACATGTGTCAGTGTGTCTAGTGACTAGATTAAGTCATTTACTTATCAAACATATTAATCATAACATTGTGATTTCACAGATCGGTCACATTGTATTATTGACTAACAGTTGTTTTGATTGGCTTTATTGAAAATAGACTTTTTTGATTTTGATAAAAGAAAAGAGTCTTCATCTTCTGTCTTCATTGCTGGAAAGTAAAAAGTTGAGAAGCGAATGCATGACCTTGAGGCTGTTTCATGCACTCTGGTGCTGTGTCAAAGGGAACTGTGGAAAAGGTTAAATAACCTTGGAGGAAATAGCTCCTTCATCAGAAGATAAATTATGTATAATTTAACAAATTTTGAACTAAGTTCACTGTTCTAAAACGAACTAGTTCATTTTTTCTCATATATATATGTATTTTATGAAATAATTTTCCAATAGTTGGCACCGTTCAGTCCACACTCATACCCAGCTGCAGTTTTTACCTACAGTAAATTCTCAATAACAGGAGGAAAAATTTTTTTTATGGGAAATTATTAAACAATCTTAGGAAGCAGGCTGGGGTAGCAAACTCAAAGTGCAATATTAAAAGTGCAAAACATTAAAAAACGTATAATCTTTCAGTTTAGTCCCTTTTAATTTTTCTGAATGGACTTAGACTCCTGCACACACCATAGTTGTAGAAGACTAGATGCCGCACCAACCGCTACTGCCTGTGTTTGGCCGCATATGCGGGTTCAACTTTTTATAAGCTCTATGGTTAACAGGAAGTTTTAGCTAGGCTTTAGCTCCAAAAGCTCCGTGGAGATCTGGAGCTAGAACGGCGAAAGAACGTGTTCATAAACCTGTTCACGCACGGCAGGATGGAAGGTCTGCATGGTGGCGCATGGTGTTCTACCACTTTTACGTTCGTCAGGCAAAATACGAACTGCCCATGGACTACTTCACACTAAACCAGACCACGCCTACAGGATACTGCTACATGAACAAGCCCCGCCCAGATGGCTGGGGTGGGGCATCGCCATCATTCATCATGGGGACCTAACCCTGCGCCCCATCTCCTTACACTCTATTTCATCCTTTGATCACCTGGTCCTCAAGACTTCCTGGATCACAATCACTAATAATCACCATAGCTCTCTTCCATCTCACCTTCTGGCCTTCTCCTAGGGGAATTCAACATCCATGTCGACTCGCCTAAATTAAAGTTTACAGCCGACTTCTTGGATATTTTGATCATATTATGCTTCTAGTGTTTATTTACCTGTTTGTGTTCTCTTCTGCCCTGTTTTTAAAGCGCTTCAGTGTCCCACAAAGCACTAAATATATATTTGATGCATTATTATTATTATTATTATTAATAAAGTAACGGCTTTAGTCCATGCCATCAACTAAAACTCGTAGACTTTCAAGTGTAAAAGGTACTTATTTACCCTGATAATCTGATATTTTGTGCTTCTGTTTTTGAGTTTTCAAACTTATAGCTAAACACTGAGAATATTGGTTTATGTAACAGAAATAGTTTTTCTAATTTCAAAAATCAACGGAATATTCTCTAAAATCCTTCACTGTTAAATTTAGTTCAGCTAACATCAGCTTTGGAGGCTGAACCCTAATCTGAGCTCAAATAGTTCCCACTGAAAGGTCAAGTCAGATCGTAAACTTTGATCTGGTGCAGAAGTCCAGCCTTTTTTTCTAAATGAGATATAAAAAATGAAATCTCATGTAGCTCCGCTGCATGAAGAATCTTTAACAACGTCCTTCTGCTGCTGCTTCTCCATGTTTTAAACAAGGTGTCATGATGATGGATGGGCGGTGAGGGTCGTGGCCCGTGGAATGGCTTCGATGGCGTTGATCAGATGTGACTAATGACTCTGAGCTTTTGTGTGTGAATCACAAGTAGAAGAAGAAGAAACTATCTTTTCTTTGGCACCTCTGGAGATAAAAAATAAGTAGAGCAGCTTTTGTTCTCTGATCTTTTTCCCATCAGACTTTGTTGTCTCTGAGATTCTTTGGGTGGTGAGAAGTCCTAAATGAGCAAGAAGAGGACGGAATGAGGTTTAGATTCATCTTGTCTGTTGAGTCAGATTTTACGAGTTCATGAATAAAAATCAGACATGATGCTTTCATCATGGCCACTGGATTAGGTACACTTGTTCAACTTCTGCTTACCACAAATATCTAGTTAGCCAATCAGACAGCAGCATTTAACAATCTAGACGACCCGCTGAAGATCAGACAACATCAGAATGGGGGGAAAAGAAGATTAAAGAACCTTCAATGTGGTCTCAGAGAGGCTGGACTCATCTCCTGGGAATTTAACCTTCAACCATCTCCAGAGAGTAAGCGGTACCAGTTAAGGGTCCTTGGTAGAAGTCGGTGGTTTTTACTTTATTCTTACTTGAATTCCTTGTTTTAAGAGTTTCCTGGACATGGTGACATCATCACATCTGTTTGTTTCTGAAAGTCAGAGTCTAGAGTGAGAAATGTGAAATAACTTTGGGAGGTTCTGGAGACCAAACAGAGAGTTTCTAAAGTGAGCCGTTTCTCCTCAGGTGTTTCGTCATCATTATATCCCATCAAACAGGATTTCCTGATCTGGTTTGAATCACCCAGCTATGGGACTCCACCTTTGACCCACGGGCCATAAGTTTGACGTGTGTCACATTAGAGGACAGAAGTTAGCAGTAGACTAGCGAGGTGGTCTCAGGTTTCATCCATCTAACACCTACAAGGCTGCTTTGGTCCTTTTTCTCCAGCAGTCATAAACAGGTATCTGCAGGTCGCCCATGGCGACGATCCAAACAATCCTAGAAGCATCGACAGAAATAACCAGACCGTTGTTGAGGGTGAAGCCGTGACACGTTTACAGGCGCTGCCATGTTGTATTTTTAGAACCATGGTCTGGTGACTGGAGAGGAGGGGCTGAATGCAACTCAGGCACGGTTGTTACAGGATGAGTTAAAAGCTTGGCAAAGCCCATGGGAGGTGTAAGTTCATACGCATAGATGCTGCTGTCTGTACATATCTAGAAACTCAAATACACACGAGTGAGCAAAGGCTCTACTTCCCACGAAGGGCTCCCGTCACTCACTCACTCACTCACTCACTCACTCACTCACTCATCTTCTAAGCAGCTTCACTACTGTCTCAGGGACAACTATCTTCGCCAGTCACCATGCAAGAACAGGTCTCCAGTCCATCAAAGAGACACAGTCACACCTTATAAACATGTCAACTCCCTTCCTGCAAGGGGAGAACATGCTAACTCCACACCTGCATGGGGAGAGCATGCTAACTCCACACCTGCATGGGGAGAGCATGCTAACTCCACACCTGCATGGGGAGAACATGCTAACTCCACACCTGCATGGGGAGAGCATGCTAACTCCACACCTGCATGGGGAGAACATGCTAACTCCACACCTGCATGGGGAGAGCATGCTAACTCCACACCTGCATGGGGAGAACATGCTAACGCCACACCTGCATGGGGAGAGCATGCTAACTCCACACCTGCATGGGGAGAACATGCTAACTCCATGTCTGCATGGGTAGAACATGCTAACTCCACACCTGCATGGGGAGAACATGCTAACTCCACGTCTGCATGGGGAGAACATGCTAACTCCACTTCTGCATGGGGAGAACATGCTAACTTCACACCTGCATGGGGAGAACATGCTAACTCCACACCTGCATGGGGAGAACATGCTAACGCCACACCTGCATGGGGAGAACATGCTAACTCCACACCTGCATGGGGAGAACATGCAAACTCCACACCTGCATGGGGAGAACATGCTAACTCCACACCTGCATGGGGAGAACATGCTAACTTGATGTCTATGTAACCGGATTACAGGATACAATAAGATAATTAAAAGAAAAAATAAACAAATGGGCCAATAATTAGGTTCGGGGACAATTGGAGGTTGTTTAAGAATGACTGGAGTCACGGGTATAGCATGAAACGGTTTATATACTAAATTTTAATAATAATGGGAAATATAACACATAAAGATAACACACAAAAACAGATGAAAACAATCGACAATAGTAAATTGCTCGGTATGAGATTTGATCATATGAGTCACAAGTCAGCCGGCGTCAAGTCAAATCCCCACGCTTGGGGTGAAAGTCAGAGTCCGGTGGTGCGATTTTTTCCTACCACACCGTTGAGATTGTTCACAGAAGAGAGCAGTCTGCTCTTCAGTTACTTGAGATGTCCTGGTTCGTTCAGTGGTTAAGGCTCGCCATCTCCCTCGTCAGGAAGAAATCCAGTTCTCGTTCCAAGTGAGTGATCATAGGAGTCGGGATCAAACCCAAGGAAAAAAAAAAACCCAGCCTGTAAACAACAGGACTGTTAGCAAGTTGGCATCGACCCTTCTCGTCACATCACAGCATAAAGTCTTACAGACTTAAACAAATGCTTCACTCTATTGGCATAGCCAATCATGTTTGGGTTCACAGTTCAACTAACATAACATCAATTTGATTGTCTATTAAAATAATTCTCAGTAGCTCTGGAAATATAATTACATATGACAACAATTGTTCAGCTCAATAGGCTCAGTTAGATTCTATTACTCTACACTATTCGACAAGAAATACATTCATGACAACAAGGATACATTTAGTTGTGTTTCTATACAGCATTGTGACACCTTGTATATCTGTAACACAATAAATAAATAAATAAATAAACAAACAAATAAATAAATAAATAAATAAAATTTTCTATAACAAAATTAAACAAAATATAAATTCTGGTCCTTTGGTCCACCTTTGTAAAATAATTCCTCCCTAATCAGTTAGCTTTTATTTATTTTTATTTATCTATTTTTTTTATTATTAAATGTTTGGTTAAGGGACGCATTGCTAATTCTATGGCGTTAGCTATAACGCCCCTGAGGACCTTGTACATCTAGGCCGTACCACCGTTAACTGGCGGTTTGAGCCGTTAACTCCTGGGAATCCCATATGCCGTACCGCCGTTAACTGGCGGTTTGAGCCGTTAACTCCTATATGCCCTACCACCGTTAACTGGTAGTTTGAGATGTTAACTCCTGGGATCTAACGTCTAGCAGCCCACTGCTGTCACCTCGGTTGCTGTAATTAGCTTTTTGAATTTAATAATTTACTGAATTTAATCTCATTCACTCACCAACGCGCTCCAACGGTTCCCTCCTACAGAGGATTGGTTCACTCTGTCGTCTCCACACAAATCTATAAGAATGGAATTAATTTGATAAGCTATTTAAGTTTCCTTTTTTTTTTAAGTTGCATCGTTAGCTTTTTCTCTTCTTTTTTCTTTACTCACCGCGTTGGTTCCAAGTTCCTAGCTCTTATTAGAAGGAGTCAAGTCCGCCTCTCCCTCTATCTATGCGGCACCCAAATCAGGGTTCTTCACGGCCTCGACCGTTGTTTTTTTTTCTCTCTCTCTCTCTCTCTCTAACCGCTCAGTCTTTGCTTTCTGTATCTGCGTGCTGCACAGCCGTTGGTCTCTCCTCTCGCTCAGCTGCGTCGCACGGTTTTATTTCGCAGAGGCGGGACTTATTTCTCTCAGCCAATGAAATTTCAGATTCCCACCTGGACCAATAGTATACAGCTTTCCTCTTCTGTTTCTGTTAGTGATGTTCAAGATTCTTGTTTTAACCGATGTTTAATATTAAACTCGTTATTTTAGTTATTCACCCTTCCAATAATTCATTATGAAATTATCTATTAGTTAATTAGATATCTATTAATTAGTATTGTTAATTTCCTTAATTTATATTTTATATTTTATCTAAATTGAGGATGGATCATATTAGTAAGCCAATTAGTTAATAGCTCATTAAGGTTCTAGCTTCTGGGTTACATCCTCCCCCATTAAATATCATGCACGTCCCTGTGCATTGTTTCTACGGGGTACACAACTTCTTGAGTAAGAGAGTCAATAAAAGCTTTATTAAGTCCTTGGAAAAGGGACCTAACTACGGTCACTAGTGGATTGCCCAATTGAGAGTAAGTTAGTCTTTGAGGAGGCTGATTACTTCGTTCAGATCTCCTGACATACATCTCTGGTTGCACAGTATCATGCTCATCCGTTTCGGTTTGATTCTCAACTGAGACAGGACGAAGTGAGCTCTCTGTTTCCGACAGAGCTGATGAGCTATTCTCTAAGACTTTGGTCTTTTCAGATGTATGTGTCTGATCGTGTATGATGGGTTCAAAACTTACATCACGTTGCTGCGACTTTAGGACACCATCCAATTGAGGTAGGTTTGTGTTAGTTTCATCCCCCGTTTCTACGTCAGGTAAGTATACTTCGTTTTTTTTCGTTTTTTCAGGTAAGTATGTTGCTGCTTCTTTCACTCTTTCAGGTAAGAATGTCGCAGTTTCACTCATTCTGTCAGGTAAGAATGTTTCGGTGTTGATGCCTTTGTCAAGTAAGGACAATTCAGCATTTTCATTACCAGCTAAGGTTGGTTCCTTGCGATCCCCTGTGTGTAAGGATAGTGTGTTTTGTTGTTGAATATTATTTACCGGTCCTGAATCTGCTATGAGTTCCCTATTTGGCAAGGTGACCGCTATTTGATAGGATGGTCGGTTTAGCACTTGTGGAAGATCAGAGTAATAAAACTCATCTACCTCTTCGTCAAGTGGCTCATCTGGGTCAGGTTCTAAGGCTGAACTCTGTCTTGTATGAGGTCTGCTAGGTTTCGTAACGCGTTCTGTTTCATTTTCTAATGAAGAGAGAAAACCACAAGGCAGTAAAAGATCTCTGTGGAGTGTTCTGTTGGGTCCTTCTCCGTTCTCTGGTTTTACGGTGTATACTGGCAAGTTTTCCATCTGTTTGAGAACTATATACACTGTTTGCTCCCATTTGTCTGCTAATTTATGCTTTTCTCTTAAGCGAAGATTTCGGACTAAAACACGATCTCCCACACCTAGTGTGGACTCACGAATGTTTCTGTCGAACCGTTCTTTGTTCTTCCTCGCTGTTTTTTGAGAGTTTTTTATGACAATGTCATAACTCTGTTCCAGATGACTCTTCAGTTCTTTAACATACTGAGAATGAGTTATAGAGGGCTTGTTCAAATGCGGTAACCCAAAGGCAATATCTATAGGCAACCGAGGCTGCCTACCGAACATTAGCTCGTAGGGAGAGTATCCCGTCACGTCATTTTTTGTACAATTGTACGAGTGAGTAAGTGGTTTTACAAAATCGCGCCAGTGATGTTTCTCAGTGGCTTGACAATATTTGAGTAATCTTTAACGAAGCGTCGGTAATAACCGGTAAATCCTAAGAAAGATTGGAGTTCCTTCAAAGTCTGAGGCTTCGGCCATGTTTTGAGTGCTTCCACCTTATCTGGATCGGTTTTTATGCCATCTCGAGATACTATATGTCCAAGATAACGCACAGATGTCTGGAAAAACGACACTTATCTGGTGATAGCTTGAGTCCGTATTCTCTAAGCCGTTCAAGAACGTGAGAAAGTCTGGTTTCGTGTTCTTCCAAGGAGTTGGAAAAGACGATCAAGTCGTCTAGGAAAACTAACACTTCCTTCAGATTAATGTCCTTCATACACTTTTCCATAACCCGTTGGAAAGTGCTTGGAGCATTTGTTATTCCTTGTGGCATACGGTTAAATTCATAAAACCCAAACGGGCAAACAAAAGCAGTTTTAGGTTTATCCTTTTCACACATCTCTATTTGATAGTAACCTGACTTGAGGTCCATCACAGAAAACCACTGTGATCCAGCGAGAGCAGAAAAGGACTCCTCCAAGTTAGGCAGGGCATATGCGTCGCGAATGGTTTGCAGATTAAGCTTTCTATAGTCTATACATAGACGTACCTCACCATTCTTTTTCCGAACTACCACTATTGGTGAGGCAAATGGAGACTCCGACTCTCTTATTATACCGGTTTCCAAGAGGGCTTCCAAATGTTTTCTCACGGCTTCATAATCATGTGGATGGATCGGCCGAGATTTCTGTTTGAATGGGGTCTCGTCTTTTAAGTTGATGTGATGTCTTATCTGTTGTGTATGACCAAAATCAAGATCGTGGTGCGAAAACACATCGGAGTAAGTGTTAAGTTTGTTGGTGATCCTCCCTTTCCATTCTTCGGACAAGGGCGAAGTACCGAAGTCAAAACTGAGAGGAGGGTTTGAAGGTGAAGTCTGTTGCTGCGAACTACACGCCGCAAGTACTTTCTGATCACTTTTGTCAGGTTCTGGATATGGCATAACACGATCGGCTTTAACTAACTCAGCGATCACACAGTTAGTGGGTAATGTGATGTCATGGTTAGTTTCGTTTCTTAGTACAACAGGTACTTTGTATGGACCATGTGAAGGTAAGGAAATGAGGCAACAGTCTACAATTATACCCCCTGGTAGAGAACCATTGGTGGGTTGTTCAATGAGTGCATAAGGCTCATGCTTGTTTTGGCTGGGTTGCATAAACCCTTCTAGTAACAGTTTTTTATTTGCAGGGAGAACTTCTTGGGTTCTCCCTCGAAGCTTCACCACACCAACTCGTCCATCTTTGCTTTGTTTTTTTCTGACTGCTAAGGCTTTTAGCACGTGTTGGTACCCATAAGAGAGTGCCTTGGAATCAGGTAAGTTATTGGCAGACAATTGCTCATACAAAGGATCGAGTGTGTTTGTGCCAATGAGTAGTGGTGTATCAGAGTTTGAGCTTATATCCGGAACCACTAACGCAAGGGTGGGTAACTCAAGTCCAGACTGATCGAGCTCTTTTGGAAATGTGACACTTATCTCTATGTATCCTAAATAAGGAACTGCTTGACCGTTTGCGCCCTCGACTTCTAACAGATTACTGATGGGTTTAATTGAGAGGTCAGGTAAGTGTTCTTGGTAAAAAGAATTGGCAATGGTGGTTACCTGGGACCCTGAATCCAGTAAACAATTACATTCAACACTGTTAACTGAGACTGTAGCTGTGCATCGCCCACCCACTAATCTTTTGGGAAGTTTTGGCACTGAATGAGCATGAACTGGCTTGCAAAAAAGTCTCTCTGTCCTTTCCTTAGAGGGACTTGGTTCTACTTTAGCACCTATCTGTCCCACGATAGGAGCTTCTACCGGTTTAAAGGAGGAGACTGAGCAATTGGCTTTGACATCTCCCACTCGCGCTGCTTCTGTCTAAGAGCAAGTCTTTTAGTTGCAACTAGTGCTGGATTTGGCTCGTTGCTACAGCTAGAAGCTATGTGCCCATCTTCTCCGCACTTAAAACAGTATCCAGGCTTTGGTCTGGGCACCACTGCTGTTATCTGCTGAATCTGTTTGGGCTCATCTGGAATTTTAGTCCCCACACGGGGTTTTGACTCTTTTTGAGTTTTCTTTGCCTTTTTATCTGTGTTGTTAACCTTAAGCTGTGCAATTTGGCTCCTGAGCTCAGCGATTTGTTTGCGTAAGTCATCACAGTTATCATCTATTTCCAGTTCACAAGTGTTTTTACTCTGAGAGCATGTTGTTTGCACATTTGAATACACTCTAGTTCGTTGTGCCCCTAAGTGTTGTTTCATGCGTGCTGCTTTAGTAGCCTGTTTGTCTTCTTCAGTGCGCAGTTTGAGGAGAAGTGCTGTAAAATGAGGCGGGTTGTCTTTCTTTTGTTCGAGTTGCAGGTTTGAAATCAGCGAGCTGTCCCAACAGCCTCTGCAAAACTGCTTGAGCAGCTGCTGGTCGGCGTCACTGGAGGAAATTCCATTCCTCTGAATAACTAGGTTTAACAAGGTGTATAACCTCTGAAAGTAATCGGAAGGTTTTTCACCACTGTCCTGGTTTGTGTTTAAGAAGCAAGCAAAGAGCTCGTCGCCGTCTTCGACAGCTGCGTAAGCTGAATCGAGATGTTCAAGGTACGTTTCCGGGTCAGATTTTGGACTAAGAGCTTTAACGATGCTCGCTGCTGGGGCTGACAGGCTCTCCACGATTCTTCGTACAATTTGGGACTTGGTGAGTGAAGGATCATTTATGCATAACACTACACTTCTACGCCAAGTATCATAGTCAGTTTCAAAAGAAGGGTGTGGAACTCGCCCTGAGAACGGTTTTAGTCTGTATTGTGAAGTAGGCGGAGGGATAACCTCACTGCTTTTAACAATGTGTTCCACAATAACTCGCTGAACCTCAGGTGTGTTTAAAAGATTTGGTGGAATGCAAGGGTTTTGTTTTCCAGTCTCTGTAGGTGGACAATTGTCCTTTGAGTTGTTCATATAGTTAACTTCTGGTGTTAAAGGCAGGGAATATGTAACTTGGTCACTATGGAGCATTGGCTCTGGTTCAGTGACTGGTTCAGATGCATGGGTATCCCTTCCTAAAGATTCCCCAATTTTTGCCAGTTCCTCCATTAGAAGGTCTTTAAATGATTGATTGCTACGCGCAGCTATGTCCCTGAGCTCTGACAGATAGGCATCAGTGGCAGATGTGCTAGTTTCTAGACTGTACGCGCTGGCTAGGTCTTGAATATGGAAGAAAACATCTGGGTTCCTAGTACAAGGTTTGTCATAGGGTAAACATTGTTTCTTTAATTCCTTAACAGTGGCTTCATGTTGAAACTCCACAATAATCTGATCACAGTTTGGTAACTTAATGCGCCTGTTAACTGGTCCGAATCCTTCCATAAACCCAAAGACTTCGTTATCAAGGTCTGTATCAGTTAACCCACTGATTAAAACAGCATTTGAAACCTTGACCTTTTCTGTTTTTACAACTTCCATTTTAAAACACTCAAAAGTACCAATAATGCCAAAATGGCAAACCACTGTGACCTCCAGGCACTCTTATGATGTCAGTCAATGGTTAGCTAAGGTAACAACTCTACAATTCTCCTGGCTGGCTCGCCAAGTTTTATGTAACCGGATTACAGGATACAATAAGATAATTAAAAGAAAAAATAAACAAATGGGCCAATAATTAGGTTCGGGGAGAATTGGAGGTTGTTTAAGAATGACTGGAGTCACGGGTATAGCATGAAACGGTTTATATACTAAATTTTAATAATAATGGGAAATATAACACATAAAGATAACACACAAAAACAGATGAAAACAATCGACAATAGTAAATTGCTCGGTATGAGATTTGATCATATGAGTCACAAGTCAGCCGGCGTCAAGTCAAATCCCCACGCTTGGGGTGAAAGTCAGAGTCCGGTGGTGCGATTTTTTCCTACCACACCGTTGAGATTGTTCACAGAAGAGAGCAGTCTGCTCTTCAGTTACTTGAGATGTCCTGGTTCGTTCAGTGGTTAAGGCTCGCCATCTCCCTCGTCAGGAAGAAATCCAGTTCTCGTTCCAAGTGAGTGATCATAGGAGTCGGGATCAAACCCAAGGAAAAAAAAAACCCAGCCTGTAAACAACAGGACTGTTAGCAAGTTGGCATCGACCCTTCTCGTCACATCACAGCATAAAGTCTTACAGACTTAAACAAATGCTTCACTCTATTGGCATAGCCAATCATGTTTGGGTTCACAGTTCAACTAACATAACATCAATTTGATTGTCTATTAAAATAATTCTCAGTAGCTCTGGAAATATAATTACATATGACAACAATTGTTCAGCTCAATAGGCTCAGTTAGATTCTATTACTCTACACTATTCGACAAGAAATACATTCATGACAACAAGGATACATTTAGTTGTGTTTCTATACAGCATTGTGACACCTTGTATATCTGTAACACAATAAATAAATAAATAAATAAACAAAAAAATAAATAAATAAATAAATAAAATTTTCTATAACAAAATTAAACAAAATATAAATTCTGGTCCTTTGGTCCACCTTTGTAAAATAATTCCTCCCTAATCAGTTAGCTTTTATTTATTTTTATTTATCTATTTTTTTTATTATTAAATGTTTGGTTAAGGGACGCATTGCTAATTCTATGGCGTTAGCTATAACGCCCCTGAGGACCTTGTACATCTAGGCCGTACCGCCGTTAACTGGCGGTTTGAGCCGTTAACTCCTATATGCCCTACCACCGTTAACTGGTAGTTTGAGATGTTAACTCCTGGGATCTAACGTCTAGCAGCCCACTGCTGTCACCTCGGTTGCTGTAATTAGCTTTTTGAATTTAATAATTTACTGAATTTAATCTCATTCACTCACCAACGCGCTCCAACGGTTCCCTCCTACAGAGGATTGGTTCACTCTGTCGTCTCCACACAAATCTATAAGAATGGAATTAATTTGATAAGCTATTTAAGTTTCCTTTTTTTTTTAAGTTGCATCGTTAGCTTTTTCTCTTCTTTTTTCTTTACTCACCGCGTTGGTTCCAAGTTCCTAGCTCTTATTAGAAGGAGTCAAGTCCGCCTCTCCCTCTATCTATGCGGCACCCAAATCAGGGTTCTTCACGGCCTCGACCGTTGTTTTTTTTTCTCTCTCTCTCTCTCTCTCTAACCGCTCAGTCTTTGCTTTCTGTATCTGCGTGCTGCACAGCCGTTGGTCTCTCCTCTCGCTCAGCTGCGTCACACGGTTTTATTTCGCGGAGGCGGGACTTATTTCTCTCAGCCAATGAAATTTCAGATTCCCACCTGGACCAATAGTATACAGCTTTCCTCTTCTGTTTCTGTTAGTGATGTTCAAGATTCTTGTTTTAACCGATGCTTAATATTAAACTCGTTATTTTAGTTATTCACCCTTCCAATAATTCATTATGAAATTATCTATTAGTTAATTAGATATCTATTAATTAGTATTGTTAATTTCCTTAATTTATATTTTATATTTTATCTAAATTGAGGATGGATCATATTAGTAAGCCAATTAGTTAATAGCTCATTAAGGTTCTAGCTTCTGGGTTACATCTACATGGGGAGAACATGCTAACTCTACACCTGCATGGGGAGAACATGCTAACTTGATGTCTACATGGGGAGAACATGCTAACTCCATGCAGAAAAGCTGTTGCTAGAATTCAAACCCATGGCTGTGAGGTACCTGCAGCTTCCACCAAAAATACATCTTACCAAATAAAACTCTAAAACACCAGCTAGGAAGTTTTTAATACACTAAAAATGTTTAATAGGACAACAAAAAGCGGCTTAATTAAAAGTATAATAATGAAATATTAACAAACGTGACTGACAGATGTGCTAAAGCTCCCTGTTGCTCTGCTCTTGTCTCTTCTAAGTGGTGTGTCACCTTCCGTGTATAAATGGTGGAACGTGCAGTGCACGGGACAAGTGCCAGTGTCCTCCAAACTTTGCTGGAAAGTTCTGCCAGATGGCGGTCCAGAATGGACACCAGCAGCAGCAGATGTCAACAGGTTATGGTCAGACTCAGGTGGTCTCCACACACACCTTACCTCTAACCTACAGCAATGGCCAGACTCCAGGTGAGAGACAAACACTCAGCAGGTTTGTAAAACTAAGCAAGATGTTTGGTGACATACATATGACATTCTAGAAGACTCTACGGTATTTACCTGTTTTGGGTAAATAAGAAGTTTATTTTAAACTAAAGTCATCAAGCATGACAGAACAGAACAAAAATGGAAATATCCTTAATGTCAATTCTCAAAATTTCTCCTTGTTTAAAATATAGTTTATTAAAAAATAAGCAATACAAATAAAATAAAATAAAAAATGTTTTAAAACAACGAATATTTAAACAGCTTTCAACAAAATGGACAACGATTATGCTCAGAAAGAAAATACATTTCTATTTATGACATCCTCAGTGTGTTATGCTGAGGCTGGAGAAAGCCGACTATCGACGTGATGTCACACTAATCGTGGGAACGCCTCTTTTGCCATGACGGTCGTTTAGGGAACTATTTTCCATTAAAGCTGTTAAACTTGAACTAGTCGAAGCCAGGCTAAACTGACAAAACAAACCAATCTCAGTTTTTTTGTCACCTGTTGGCCTGTATTTGATATAGCACCTTCTAGAGTCCTGGAACCCCCCAAGGCACTTTACAACACAATCAGTCATTCACCCATTCACAAGCTGGTGGATGAGCTACACTGTAGCCACAGCTGCCCTGGGGCGCACTGACAGAGGTGAGGTCTGTCGTACACAGGTGCCACCGGTCCCTCTCACCACCTGCAGGCAAGGGGGGTTGTGCCCAAGGACACAATGACAGTGACAGACTGAGCGGGACTCAAACCTGCAACCTTCCAATTACGGGGTGAGCACTTAACTCCTGTGCCACTGTCGCTCCACTGTAGTTCAGTGTTCATGTCCACCATGGAAGAACCACGTGATCCGGTGACGTAGGTGCAAAGGGTCAGTAGTATAAGGTTTTACACCCCGCTGGCTCAGGAGCTAACCCTAACTGGCGTAATTACGCCCACACCACTGAACTTTTTGTTCCTTTACTGTCAACGATATCATTCGCCGTGTCCTCTGTCTTTCTCTCTTTTTTGGGACACAATGTTTTTTCTGTTTGATGTTAGCTGTTACCTGCAGTAAGAGGCTGCAGCTGTACATTAGCCCTTAGCAGCATGTGTGGCTCTGTTCCAGCAGAGCAGCACTTCATCTGATTGGTTGTTCCCCTGTTGTTTATATTGAAGGATTATATTGACCCGGTTTCATGTCTATTAAGGAAAATATATTATTTGGAAATTTATATTGCTATAGTTTTATTTCCCAGCGTTACACGAGGGGTTTTAATGAATATCAAACACAATATACAACAGATTTTCTGTTTAGCATCAAGCAGTGAGTCTGTAGCACTAATGTCAAGTGGAGGAAATTTTAACAAACAATGATTTGTTGTATATGAAACATCAACATTCAGAACCAGCTACTGGTTTATAAAAACTGGTAGAATGTCAAGTCCTGCTGCAAACTACAATAAGCTGTCCTTTATGAGATCTGTACACCTGTACTGCAACATTTGGAATGTCCTGTTCCTCCAGGGTTTAACCCAGGCATCGTTAACATTCACATCAAACACCCTCCAGAGGCGTCGGTTCAGGTTCACCAGGTGTCTCAGCTGGACAACTACCACAACAACGGGCACCAGCAGAAAGGCCCACAGGGAGGCTCCTCCTCCTCCACCAGGTATCAGCACACTGAAAGCAGCCAGAAGATTCAGCACCATGGCTACACCATCATGTATCCCAACCAACATGGTCACCATCTTCCCCATTACCAACCCGTCACCTCCAAGAGCACTCTGGGTCGCTGCTTCCAGGAGACAGTAGCCGGTCAGGTAAGCTGTTGGTGGGGGGTGGGATGACACGTTTAACTGGACAGGAAAATCAAATCAAATCTACTTAATTTATAAAGTGCTTTCACATGCCCAAAACGGACAAACAAAGCGCTGTACACCAATAACATGCACAACAGTAAAACAGACATATAACCATTTAAAATACAATAAGAAATCCCGAGTACAAGTTCACAATCCATATCTGTGCTGTTTCCAGAATCAGATCCAGACACATTCAAAGTGATGCTGCCCACACAATCCCAACTTCAATGTCCAAATGCCAACGAGAACAGATGTGTTTCTAGCCGGCTTTTAAAGGTCTCCAGTGATTTGGCCTGCTTTACGTTGGCTGGCAGCTCATTCCAAAGACTTGGTCTGAGCACTGAAAAGGCACGCCTCCCACGAGACTTCAGGCTGTACCTGGGCACAGTTAATAGTTTCTGGTCAGCTGACCTAAGGGAACGCACCGGGACATGTCGGTGGATGATGTCGGAAAGGTATTTAGGTGCCCCTGAGTTTAATGCCTTAAACACAAACAAGATTACCTTAAACCTGATGTGATAGGAGACAGGGAGCCAATGCAAGGCACGTAGGACTGGTGTAATATGTTCAGACCTCCTGGTAGATGTCAACAACCGAGCAGCCGAGTTCTGAACTGCCTGGAGGCGTGCTATTAGAGCTTGCCTAAGCCCTGCATATAACGAGTTGCAATAATCCAGCCTGCAGGTAACAAAGGCATGGATCACAGTTTCCAAATGACTACGTGACAGAAATGGCTTAATTTTTGCTATAGGGCGTAGATGAAAGAGGAGAGCCTTTAGTTTGTGCCTCAGCTGAAGTCACTGTGATTTGTTTTGGTCGCGGCTGCCCTCAGGGTGAATCATTAATGGGAAAAAGATCTGCCATAGAACAACTAAAGAGTAGCGGGCCAAGAACACAGCCAAGTGGTACACCTGGACTCATCTGTGATCGCAGCACGACAGTAAAATGATGTTAAATCAAAATATTTTCTTTTTCAGGAAGTAGATATTTCTGTTTAAAACGTTGGGTGACACATGGCTGGTGTTCCTGTTAAAGATGCACGTCTGATGAAGTGGTTGTTTAGGGTTAGGGTTATGTACGTGAATTAGGGTTATGAACGTTGAGGGTTGTTGGCAGCTGCTGAATGTATCGTAAGGCAAGACATCTTTTTGGATTGCACACTTCGGATGAATTCAGTGTGCCTTCCATTAGCGAGGACAGCACAATTAAAATACAAAAATACATTTAGACCAAATTAAATACACAAATAAATGGTCATGTGTAGTCTAACTTAGTTACTTTTGAAGTCGAATAATCACTAAAATAACCAAGTTACTTATTAAGGCATTAATCAGTAATCTAATTACTTTTCAAGCTATCTGGCCACTCTGGCAAAAATGTGACCAACTCATCCAAAAATATAAAAAAATAGTATAAAACAAATGAAGCCAATTATCAGTCACCGTTTGGTGTTAGGAGCGGGTAACGTGGATGGTAATCTGCCAGCAAAGAAAATCCGACCGTTTGTGTTTTTGTACGTGGTCAACTGAATATCTAACAGTCTCCCACTTTCTGTCTCGGCCCTTCAGTGTGGAAAAGTGCTGCCAGGCCTCACTAAGCAGGAGCAGTGTTGTGGGACCATCGGGACCTCCTGGGGCTTCCACAAATGTCAGAAGTGTCCTCAAAAACCCTGTAAGTACTGCTGCTTTCTCCAGAAATCATTCAGGGCTTTAGTTTGATTCATCTTTCATATTTTTAAATCCTTGGTCTCCTGAGCTGCCTTCAATTCAGGTCAAACTTTTCTAAAATGTCCTTTCTTCATACAAACTCATCAAATTTAGGATTAGATAAGACTATTGATCCCACAGCACAGGACAGGCAGCAAAAGAGTACAATAATGACCAAGAATACACTACAGTAGTTTCTATGCAGAGTAAGTGTTGAGGATTATAGACAAGAGTTCAGACACGTAATAATATTAGGCAATGCAACTGTCCTACAGCTGTGGTCTCACGCTTGAAGATGGAAAAGTGTTGGTTTTCCCAAATGTTGCACATTGCACATGTTCTCCCCTTGCAGGCATGGAGTTAGCATGTCCTCCCCTTGCAGGCATGGAGTTAGAATGTCCTCCCCTTGCAGGCATGGAGTTAGTATGTTCTCCCCTTGCAGGCATGGAGTTAGAATGTCCTCCCCTTGCAGGCATGGAGTTAGAATGTCCTCCCCTTGCAGGCATGGAGTTAGAATGTCCTCCCCTTGCAGGCATGGAGTTAGAATGTCCTCCCCTTGCAGGCATGGAGTTAGTATGTTCTCCCCTTGCAGGCATGGAGTTAGAATGTCCTCCCCTTGCAGGCATGGAGTTAGAATGTCCTCCCCTTGCAGGCATGGAGTTAGTATGTTCTCCCCTTGCAGGCACGGAGTTAGCATGTTCTCCCCTTGCGGTCACGGAGTTAGCATGTTCTCCCCTTGCAGGCACGGAGTTAGCATGTTCTCCCCTTGCGGTCACGGAGTTAGCATGTTCTCCCCTTGCGGTCACGGAGTTAACTTGTTCTCCCCTTGCAGGCATAGAGTTAGCATGTTCTCCCCTTGCAGCATGGAGTTAGCATGTTCTCCCCTTGCAGCATGGAGTTAGCATGTTCTCCCCTTGCAGGTATGTTCTGTCTGTGCAGAATTACACAGAGGAGGAGTCTGGCAGGCCAGATTAATTTAAACAGCATAAACGTTTTTGTGTTCTTTAGCTATGATAATTATTCATTATTCATACTTAGTCCTCCCTATGGGGTGGAATTTTCTTTCGTCTGGTTTCCTTCAGCAGCTCTGTTGACTTCTCCTAAAACCAGACTCAGAAACATACGGTGGCCCAGAAGGTTCAACCACAGCTTCAGCAGAAGTGATAACAAAATGGAAGTAGTTTTCTGCTGGAGTGTGTACTAATACTTTAATGACACTAAAGCTGTAACTGATGAGCTTTAGCAGCGTTCGGTAGCGGGTCGTTATGAGAGTGTAATCAGGAAAATCTGGCCTGAAATGTATGTGTGTTTGGCGGATGTCAGAAAACCTTTATGTTCGTATAAATGTGTCTGAAATCTTTTACTACAAAACAACTAAAGAGATATCAAACCTGTGAACATGTTTTTTTGTCAGCCATTCTGCTGATCGATTGTCCTCTGGGTTACAAGAGAGTCAACAACTCTCAGTGCCAAGGTGAGTCTGTGTTTCTGCCCTTTGACTCGTTTCATACAGGCGTTCCCTTTGTCTGCTGCCTAGTTGAAGGAATTAGCTGAAAACCTCCTGGACTGATGATGTTTTGGTGATTTTGTTTGTTCCAGATGTGGACGAGTGCCAGCTGCAGGGTGTTTGTGCTAATGGGAACTGTCTGAACACCGTGGGCGGTTACAGGTGCACGTGTAAACCGGGTTACGTCCCCCACCCCTCCCTCACCGCATGCATATGTAAGTACAACAGTGCTGCTGAAATGTGATTCCTGACCTGCAACGGTGAACACATGCATGGATGAGAGCATGATGTTTGTTCCATAATAAGAATAACTTGAGCACGAATGTGTGAGCAGACCCCACTCATCTCTTGCCTTCCATCTCTAACCCAAACTCAGCAGCAAGTGAAAAGTTAAAGCAAACACAAGAAACATGGATCTGTAAAACTAGGGTTAGACAAATAAGACAAAGACAACAAAAGAAAAGGCATCAAAGCCCAGAAACGTTGGATGTGATGTTTTAAAAGTTAAGTTTCTGAGCTTGGTGGATACAGCTGTGGTTAGGGTTAGAACCACTTAAACCTCACGATACAGGTGTGTCCAAAGTGTGGCGGGGGGCCATCTGGGGCCCGTGGAGCGTGTTTTGACACGGCTCCCACCTGCATTTCTAGAATGAACAATTTAATCTGTCCATCAGGCTGCTGGCGCTGGTTGCCCCGCCCCCAGACAGTCTGACCAATCAGCAGACTGTCTTTGTCTCTTTAGCCCACAGGGCCGAGTTTCTAACCCCCAAATTCCACTACCTCCGCTCCGCTCCGGTCCGCCCCCGCCTTCCGCAGCCGCTCGCTTCCAAACTGGTACCCGCTCTACAACGGCTCCGCTCCGGTGCGGAGACCTGAGGTGGGCAAACAAGCATGCGCAGGATTTTCGAGATCTTGTGATACAGTCCGAGCAATAAACGCGGAAGTTAGATCCAAACACCCGTTGTGTGGGAGAAACATCGGCATGAACTGTTTAATCTGCCCATCATTTGTGTTGACAGATCAGCAGTGTTTGGATCAACAAAGGGTGACTACTTTGATAGTAGAAACTGTATTTATGGCTTACTTTTGTGCATTTAAACTTCAGCCGCCATTGATAGTTGTTAAAAGTTGTTAAACCTGTGCATATGAAACAAAAAACGCCTTTTGTTGATCGATTTATTGTGAAAAACGGAAGTTGTGCTTGCTCCTTTTCCTGTTGGGCGGTTGTGATTTCTGTCCATTTACTGCGGAGGTGCTCCGGCGTCCGGCAAAAATAGGATCGATTCTATTTTTGCCGGACGCCGGAACAGAGGGCGGCGCACGGCGCCGCACTGCCGGAGCACGGCCGCAGTAGTGGAATTGCTGATTGACTACAACGGGACCGATTTTGCTCCGGCGTTCGTGTCGGAGCGGAGCGGAGGTAGTGGAATTTGGGGGTTCAAGAAAACTGTTAATGTGAAGTTTGTCCCCTAAAGAGAACATCACCTTCTCCCACTATATGTTTTATGTTCATCTTAGACCCATTTTCCTTTTTATTGAGATTGGAATTGAATAAAAATATTTTGTCATGTTATTTATTCTAAACATTTTTTCATTTTTCATTTTGATTCACTAAATATAGAAAACAAAGCTTTTTTTCAGTCTAAATGTCTCATTAATCTGAAATAATCTAGTGAAATCTAATTTGTCACACCAACAAAAGCACAGGTCTCAGGAGGATATTATTTATTAGTCATTGTCTCATTTTTATTTTAAATTCTGCAGCATTTCTCACTGTTTTAATACCGGTAGAGACGGGATGCCGGGACCTAAAGTCCGTCCTTAACAGGATGAGTCAGGTGTGCCTGTGATCTTGGGTTTAATCCCTGGTGGGATTTCTGCCCGTTTCACCTGCTCTACCAGTAGATTAAACGTAAAACACGTTCGGGCTTGAGGATCATGGGTTGTCTTTTGTCTCATGAGGGTCAATCCAGGAACTCAGCAGATGCGTTCATTTATGTTTACGCTAAACACCGAATTTTGGACCTAATCAAAAACAAACACGACGTGAAAACTGTCCCAGAGACGTGAGACGATTTTAGGCCACAACTTCTGATGAAATCAGGGTAAACTGCTGTAGAATCACAACAGGATTACAGGAGACATGTTCCTGTCTCTGGAGAAGGTGTGGTGCAGACTCTTTCCACTGATGCGCTTCAGTTCACCACAGCCAGAGGTTCTGTTCTGGAGATTACCTTCCCACTAGGTGACCTTCTGGACCTGCTAGCGGCAAGACGTCTGGCTAAACGCTGCAAAAAGTCTGATCAAATGTTGCCCAGATTTCCCTGGAAAGTCTGCAGCGAATGTTTATGAAGTCATCTGAACTTTTACATCTATGGTTTTGCTCAGATGCAGACCGGAGTTTCCTACAAATAAACAGAATAAAAACAGAAAAATATCTTTTCTGCACCGCTTTTAAATATAGTCTTTTTAGGACGGTGCAGCTTTAAACCAATACACCAGTTTTATTTATTTTTTACTGTATTCAGACTTTCTAGTTGAGTGGGTGGAAACACAGCTGCTCATCACATAAACTACTGATCAAACTACTGATCTTTTACTTTGAAGGTGACCCTTGTCCACTGGGACATGGTCACAAGCCTCTGTCATAAATCCGGAGACACATCCTGCCAGGAGTTCATATTTGAAGCTTCCATCTTGGAACCAAAGGAACAAAGATAAACCTCCAAAAAGCCTCTCAGGAAAAGTTTTAATTCAATTCAGTTTATTTATAAAGCACCAAATCAGAACCAGAGTCATCTCAAGGACCTTCACACAGTAAACATTCCAGTACAGGTCAGGTCATTAAGCCAATCAGTAAAAAGTTTCCTATATAAGGAACCCAGCAGGTTGCATCAAGTCACTGACTAGTGTCAGTGACTTTACAGCAATCCTCATACTAAGCAAGCATGCAGCGACAGTGGAGAGGAAAACTCCCTTTTAACCGGAAGAAACCTCCAGAGAATCCTTGCTCAGTATAAGCAACCATCCACCACGACTCACTGGGGATGGAGAAGACAGAGATCAATGTAGTGAAGCTCTGAGTTTCTACGAGCATCTGCTTCTTCTTCATGGCTCCATAAGGTCCTGTCATCGATTTACACATGAATCTTGTTTTTTCCATGAATCACTTCTAACAACGAGCTGCATGGTGGCAGAGCTGGTTAGCAATGTAGCTTCACCATCAGATGGTTGTGGGTTTGACTCCATTTCTTAAAGCTATTATAGCGAAGCTACAGAACAAGCTAGGCTTTGAACACAAACTCAGTCACAGAACACTCACTTTTACTCACGTTTTTATCCAAAGTGACTTACATCAAGTCACCTGTTAGCCTGACATGCATGTTTTTGGTGTGTGGGAGGAAATCGGAGCACCCTTAGAAAACCGTGCATGCACGGGGCGAACACGCTAACATCATGCAAAAGGCTGCAGCTGAGCTGGGCAACCTTTTCTCTGGACCACCATGCATCTCTTGTCTTCCTTTAATATGAGGTTTAAGCTGCGTTCAGGAACATCAGAAACCAGGTTTGTCACCACAGATGTTTTGAAATCTGTTTATTTGTTGGGAAAATGTGGGTCAAGCGTTTAACCAGGAACTGGAATGATTTATTTGAGGTGATGTTTCCTGGAAAAAAGAACGTTCTTGGCTCACCGTGGAGATGGCTCTGTTGTGTGTGAGCCTTCTCCAGCTGGACCAAGTGAAGATGTTTTACTGTTCCATAAAACTCTACCTGCATGTCCTGATGAGAGCTAACACCAGGCAGCCGGCGTGCATGAAGCGTCTGCATGAACAACATTTGATGCTTTTGTCAGCACGTTAGTCCTGTTTGTGTTTAGTTAGAAAGCCCTTACCTGTAGGCTGTTTGCTCCGGTGAAGGGAATCTTTTTATTTCTTCATGTTTTGTCCCGTCTGCCACTCCCCATGTTTGTGTCTTCTACTCTTTGGTCTACCACTTCCTACACATCAACCCTTCCATCTTCAGCCAGCGCGCCTGCCGTCCAGGAGGAAAAGGGCGCTTGCTTCCGTTTGGTCAGCTCAGGGAGGCAGTGTTTGCACCCAGTGTCTGCCCAGCTGAGCAAACAGCTCTGCTGCTGCAGTGTGGGCAAAGCCTGGGGCCCCCACTGTGACAAATGTCCCCCTCCAGGAACAGGTAAGTCCTGCAAGACTGTTACTCTGTCTACTTGTCCCCCACACCCTCCTCTTCCTCTTGAACACAGCAGACCTTATGTTGAGTCCTGCTTTCTGCTGCCTTACCTGTCAAAGACATTTCAGTCTGACCTTTCATCCTGTCATCTGTGGGCTTTGTGTGTGTGTGTGTGTGTGTGTGTGTGTGTGTGTGTGTGTGTGTGTGTGTGTGTGTGTGTGTGTGTTTGTGCGTGCGTGTGCGCGCGTGGTCACTTGTCTGTAGGTTTACCTACAACGTCCTCGACCAGAGAATGGATTTAAAGATCTCATTCAGTTGGAGGAGGGGTGGGGGCACGTCAGGGTTTGGAGTCTCATTCTTATTTATGACATTTGAACATCTCTCTGATTGGCTAACAGCAAAGTGACTCTTCTGCTGCCTTCGTTTGCCCTGTTACGATGATGTTTCATCTCCATAAATAACTCAAATCTGAACAGGTTCCACCACATTGTGGAGTTGCTAATGCTAACGGTTAGCTTCAAATAGCCAAGGCGGGTTTGCTTTCTCCTTCTCATGGGCAGTCCCAAGCCAAGGTGGGTGGGGCCATGGAGTCATGGCAAAGATTCATCCATATCACAAAGAAAATGTTAAATAACGTTAAATATTTCATCAGCTTTTCTGAAGTCAGCAGGGAATGAAAACATTTACAACCCTGGCTCCAGCCCAAGATGGCTGCCACTGCTAATGAACGTTAGCAAACAAGAAATGTCATATATATGTCTGCTCCATCCATCCTCCTCCACTTATCTGGAGTCGGGTCGCGGGGACCGCAGCCTGAGTCGAGAGGCCCAGACTTCCCTCTCCCTAACCACTTAGGCAGGCTCCTCAGAGGAATCCCAAGGCGTTGCCTGGCCAGGTGAGAGACATAGTCCCTCTAACATGAAGAAGAAAATATCATTTCTATAGCGCCTCTCTAGATAAAAATCACGAGGCGCTTCACAAAAACAAAAAACGTAAAAATATAAAAAGGAATTTAGAAAATGATTAAAATATATTTAAAATGAGCAAAAATAGACTATTGTGATTAAAAAATGTAAAGAAAGAGAGAGAGTGAATAGGAAAGAGGGAAATCAGTGGATCCTGAGGAAGGTAGAATAGGTGGGGAGAGCAGAATAAAGAGAGTGGTGAAGAAGGTCATACAAAAGCCTGAACAAGTGAGTCTTCAGCTGCTTTTTAAAGGAGACCACTGAGTCCACTGATCTCAGGCTCAGGGGGAGAGAGGTCCACTGGGGGCCACAGCAGCAAATTATCTGTCAAGCCCTGGGTCTCCTTTTAAGTCTCCTACGGTTGGACATGCCCGGAAAACCTCACCAGGGAGGCGTCCTAATCCAATGAACCACCTCGACTGGCTCTTCTTCATGTGATGATTATGTCCAATGTTGAGCTAAAATCTACTGTTTGAGTGACAGAGTCGTTGGCTACACCGACCTCTAACAGATGCAAAGGATTATTTGTTTTTCAAGATGAGACCAAATTGTTTCCCATCATAAAATAATAGTTTATAAGAAACAGCAGCTGATGGAGTTGAAGAGATGAAGTGTATTTGTCGTCTCACACAGGTGTGTGTTATGTTGGGGTTAAAGCAGGAAGCCTTTTAAAATGCTAAAACCCGTCTGGAACGCACATTTTCAGAGAGGAAAACCTTCACTGTTCTGTAACCGAATGCTACGGAGCTCCCAACGTTCTTCAGCTCGGGATATGACGGAGTTTTATTGTGTCTCCTGAATCCTTCCTGAACGTTTCCATGTTTAACGTCTCTGGTCCACGTGGATCCAGCTATCGGTGCACGTCTCTGCACTCACTGTTGCTCCATTCATTCCACCACATGAAACTGATGTTGTGCATATTGTGTGTTTACGTGTTTAAATGGAGTGAACCACGTCTCTCAAACTTTGCATTTAGGTAGGGAATTGTCTTTAGAAGATGTTAAAACTTTTATTTAGCTTACTCACCTCAGACTGGAGCCCGCCATGGTGCGGGAGCAGAGTCGGTGGGCTGCATCTAAATCGCGGAAGAGCCACGGTGGGCACAGCCTCCCTCTTCAAACGGAGACGTGCAGAAGTGCGGGTAAAATGCTGGTTGCAAACTACAGCACCAGGCGGGAGCTGAATGTTTTTCAGACACCGATTGCGCGCAACCACTGGCGCCTAATTTCTAAGTCCAGCGGAAAGGAGTGCAACCCCAGAGAGCCACCGCAACCATACTACACTACACCGTCTCACCATACAAACACGATATGGAGCACTAAACCTGAACTACTTTCCTAATTACACTAACAGCCAAACACTAACTAAACTACAATATCCAACAGCCAAGCTAACACTAAATAAGTATGTATAACACTAAAAGCTACGCTAAAGACTAGGATATGCTAATGCTATATGCTAATGCTGAATTACGGCTAGCCTCCTACACTCGCTTGCAAATCCAACTCCCAAATCGCCACAAGGTGTGGCCGAGACTCTCGATGCTTTTATAACTTTGACACAGAGCTGCTACGTAGTACTTTACTGGTTTACGTAGTATCTTACTCTTTAGCCATTGGCAAAAATTTATTCAAAATGACTCAAATTCTATGTTTTAAGCTGAAGGTGGCACTATACTGTGGTATTTAGGCAGAATTTTTAATTTTTAAGGAAAATGCACCTAAATGCTAAAATAATGAATACACACATTTAAAACACTATTAGACACTCATTTATACAGTTCATCAGCAAAAAAAGTTAATTTAGACGTTACTTGCTCTTTAAGCTCAGATTCTTCTGGGCACGATAAGATAGTGTATTAAAATGATTCATATCTAACCTCAAATGTACAAAAGCAGGAGAGTCCCTCCGGCTCTGACGTATAAAGAACGGTGAAGCCGAAACAGAGACGCTGAGTGAAAACCGTCACCCACTTCGTTGCTTCCAGGTTCGGAATCAGGCGGAGTTTTGGATCTGACGCATAAATGATCTGAATAAACGAGACTCCAACCAGAGCCTAAAGTCCCATCCAGACACATGTGATGATGGCAGCTTCTTCATTTTACAGATGAATAAAACTCGGATTTGAGTAAAAACTGGACGCTTGGAAAAATCCAGGAGGAACCCTGTAGAACGTCAGTGGAGTGGGTTTTTAGCTTCTGGGGCTGATCATGGATGCCGACTCTGAGTCGGCTCCTGGTCCTTTCTACAGAACTGGGTTTACACCCGCTCCATCTGGAGCTGGAACCTTTGGGACGGAGAACCGAAGATCGTGTGACTCCAGTACTCGGCCTTCTGCTTCCTGGGAGATTTAAACATCTTTCCTTCACGCCCGTCTGGAGGTCTTCTTCTGCTCTTTGTGTGGAGATGTTCCAGGTCCAGAACTGGAGGCAGAACCTCCAGAGGATCTGCTTTTCAGATGAAACTTTCCTTCCTGCAGAAACGTGTTTACTCTGTAATCCTGTGTTCTCTAACATAAACAGCTTATTTCATTTTTCATTCCTGTTTTTATTTGTGCTTTCATGATCATTTAGTGCCTATGAGTAACCGGTGGAAACGCTGCGTTAATGTCTCGGGTTTGGGTTGGTTATGGTCCCGCTGCAGCAGGTTAGCCACCACCTGTCACCTGTAAACCAGAGAAACCTGAAAATGTGGAGCAGGGATGGAAAAGATCATTCCTCTCTTCAGCTTCCTGTCCAGCGTGTCTCCCGGAGGACGGAGCTTCTTTTGCTGCCTTGTGTTTATTTATCTCACCTGTTCCTGTTGACATGAAGGTTTCAGGTCCAAACTTTTGCTGTAATTAAATTCCTTTATGTGAAAAATCCCAAAATGTGTTTTTGTGTTTTTCAGCTTTGTTCAAAGAAATCTGCCCCGGTGGGATGGGCTACACCGTTCTACCAAATCCTCCCGTCAACAAGCCGGCGACAGACTTCCAGGAGCCCGTGGACTTTATCCCCCCCCAACCTGCGGTGGAGGCCTTCGGGACCGAGGAGGAGGTTCTACCAGGTCAGAACTGGGCTCAAGGTTCGGTTTGAAAGTGAAGGAAATACATGAATGAAGTGATTGTTAAACGGGAGCGACAAGATGGAGCAGTAGGCTCTGTTGCTTTGCAGCAAGAAGGTTGCAGGTTCAAATTCCAGCTGCATGTTGGCATGTTCTGTGCATGCGTGAGTTTTCTCTGGTTTCCTCCCTCTGACCAAAAGCATGCATGTCAGGTTAACTGGAGGCAAATGTGTGTCCCTGCGATGGACCTGTCACCGTGGGTGTGACATGAGACCGATGGAGGTGTAAAGATGTATAAAGTAACCATGACCTGCACTCAAACTAGCCGTTAGCTTATCAGTTCTGTTGGATGTGAACATTATTTCTCTGAACAAAGGCTGTTCGGGATTCTATCACTGTCGACGTTTTATAAAAAAAACTCTTAAAACATCAAAAAATCCCTGTAAGGTGTCCCGACTGCATCGGGTTGACTTCATTACGCTCTTTGGTCTGAATGGCTGATCTTTCTACTGAACCCAACACGGACTGTTTGCCTAGGGCTTTTATTGTGAAGGGACTGAAGGAAGTTGTTAAGCTATCAGTGGAAAAAGGGATATTGGTACTAAATAATAAACTAAGTAATAAACCTTGGTTACAGCAAAGGAAATTTAACCAGCAGTCTGCAAGTAAAACTGTTCAAACTATTTTAAGGCCCACAGCAGGGTTAACAATTTCATCAGAAGAAAATAATTTATTTTCTTTGTTTCGAGAGCAAACCACCACCGCTTAGCGCTCTGCTTGTTTTATCTAAAGCAACAAAAGTCACTGATGGAGCCTAGAAACCTAGATGGACGGCTGCAGAAGCTCTGCATGTAGATTAAACCTATAGGAGGACCACCTCTGATGTAATCCGGCTGACATTCCTCCCCCCTTAATCCTTGTTAATCCGTCTTTCCCAGGTGAGCTCCATTCACACTAAAATGTCAGCCATCTTGTTTTAAAGGTCTTCATGAGAACTTTTCTGCTGATTTCCAACTGAAGAAAACCAAAATCTTCTCTGACTCAGCTCATCCAGTAACACTGTGGCTCTGAAGTCTGACGCGCATCCTTGTAGATGTGAAAAATTCTGCTGACCTCTGACCTCTGGGTTATTATGAAACGGTTGAAGACAGATGGACGTGTTTCTCATTGTTCTGGATCTTTGATCATTTGTAAATGTGATGAATCTCTGTGTGGTTTGGTTGATCAGAGGTTGTTGAGAGGACCTCCCCCCCTCCTCCAGTAGAGATCCTCCCCACTAACGCCGGTCAGGACATCGCCCCCACCCAGTCAGCTGGTGAGTTATCACAGAAACATTTATAACCAATCAGTTGTTCCTGGTTTCCAGCAGGCATTTGTGTTTAGTTGCTTGTTTCTCGGACATGAATCCTGAATGGACGGAGCCACGGATGTAACACAGATGTTGGTACTGTTGGTTTGGGGTCGCCCAGGTGCCTGGGTGGTTTCTGGGTCTTTAATAAAGTTATTGAAAATTTAGCTGAAGTCAGTTGTGGCCCAGAAACACTTAGCAAGGGAAATAATGTCTGTGAGAAGGCTGGTAACTGTCCAGGTAACCTGGAAGAATCAGAGAAACTTCCCTCTAAAGAGCATGAACGGTACTGGAACTGAAGCGACCAGGCTCGAGCCCAGCTTCCACCTGATGAGAAACCAAATAAAGTCAGTATTTAGTTGATAACTGTAGTAATGAAGGCCGAGGAAATAGATCCTGACTCAACAAGTCTGTCAAACTTTCTTTATTATTGTTGGTAATGAACGGGATGGGAGTTTTAATGACCTTCTGTTGTCTCCGCTCTGGTCCAGAGGTGGATGAGTGTCAGATCAACCCTTACATATGTGGACAGGGCATCTGCTACAACACAGCTGAGAGCTACACCTGCCACTGTGATCAGGGATATCGCTTAGACGACAGCCAAGCTACCTGTACAGGTGAGAAACCCAGAGGACTGCTTGTGTGTGTGCAGAACCTTCACGTGTAGCTTAAAGCTGCAGAACATCAGTCAGAAAAGGGTTATTCATGAAGCCTCCCAGGCTAAGAGGAAGGTGAATCTGCCGTTTGTTAGATTTTAGACGGGCTGCATCCCTCTGAACGTCAAATTACAATTTTGGACTTTCCAAGGTCAGTTGAGATAGATCTGGTCACCTATGCCAGGGTGACCAGATCTCGACTCGCTAAATGTGGAATAGAGGCTACCCAATGTGGGACGGGAAATTCCAGTGCAACGAGAGAAGTAAAAAACTTCTGCTTCTTATCTCTAAGTCACTGTTAAATATGCATCAATTATTATTATTATTATTATTATTCACATAACGGCTGGGATGAGGATCAGCACCTCCAAATCTGAGACCATGGTTCTCGACCGGAAAAGGGTGGCTTGCCAACTCCGGGTCGGGGGAGAGGTCCTACCTCAAGTGGAGGAGTTTAAGTATCTCGGGGTCTTGTTCACGAGTGAGGGTAGGAGGGAGCGGGAGATCGACAGGCGGATTGATTCGGCGTCTGCAGTGATGCGGACGCTGAGCCGATCTGTCGTGGTGAAGAGGGAGCTGAGCCAGAAAGCCAGGCTCTCGATTTACCGGTCGATCTACGTCCCAATCCTCACCTATGGTCATGAGCTTTGGGTAATGACCGAAAGAACGAGATCGCGGATACAAGCGGCCGAAATGAGTTTCCTCCGTAGGATGGCTGGGCTCAGCCTTAGAGATAGGGTGAGGAGCTCGGACATTCGGGAGGGACTCGGAGTAGAACCGCTGCTCCTCCGGATCGAAAGGAGCCAGTTGAGGTGGTTTGGGCATCTGGTCAGGATGCCTCCTGGACGCCTCCCCGGGGAGGTGTTTCGGGCATGTCCTGCCGGCAGAAGGCCCCCGGGTCGACCCAGGACACGTTGGAGAGGTTACATCTCCAATCTGGTCCGGGAACGCCTTGGGGTCCTGCCGGAGGAGCTGGTGGACAAGGCCGGGGAGAGGACGGCCTGGAGCTCCCTAGTTGGGATGCTGCCCCCGCGACCCGGACCCGGATAAGCGGAGGAAGACGACGACGACGACGATTATTATTATTATTATTATCATTATGTATTTCATGTACTAAATATTCAACGTGAACAAGCAAACAGCAAAAGCTTCACAGTTCCTCCCACACAGCTTAACTCAGGCTCAGTGGACCTTCTACAGTAGCTCTGAATAACTTAAGCTACAACGATTTTAAACCATCAAGTCAACTAGAAACAAAATGGTGTTTTCTAACAAATTTCCTCTAGTTTAGGTGAGAGAAAAACATCACTGACTTTAATCTCTGAAAAAAAATCTGATCTAGTCTAATAAAAGTTCCTTATTTCCCTAAAATTCTGAGAAAAAGTAATGAAGGCGTCCATTTAATTCTCTCATTATTCCTTTAATGTGCTTTAAAAGAGTTAAACTTGTAAAACAGAACGACTGCAGCACCTTGTTTGGAGAGAATCTCCTTTGGGATCTGTCTAATTACTGGGAAACCAACACGTTTTATGTGACTTGGACTTTCTGCTCCGTTTCATGTCAGACGCCTCGCTGTGACACGGGAAATGACTAGAAACAACAAAGACTCTGCCAGAGTCTCCCTGACGGGTTTATTCTGACAGCATTCCCTGGTCACCCAAACCCATGCTGGAAATGACGTGGGTGTGTGTGTGTGGGTGTGTGTGTGGGTGTGTGTGGGTGTGGGACCCCTGTAGTAGCTGCGTATACTACTAACATCTATAATAATTGTAAAGAATGAAGCTGATTTGGCGGATTTGGCCTATTGCGGGTTGTTTTTAGACCGTAACGCCCACGATGAGCGAGGTACTGCTCTACCTGCTTTTACAGGAGCTTCAAAAGGGTCCGTCCTTGTGATAACCGATGAGTGAAATGCAGAATCACATCTCAGATTGCAGCTATGTGAACGCCATCATTATCATTCGGTGGCGTTTTGAACGAGACCAGTCTAAGCTCCACCCTCCTCCTGCTGCTTTGCTTGTCGTTCTGTGGTTTTCTGCTGTACTGGGTAACAAACTGAACTCTGGGGGGGGGGGGGGGGGTCCACAGACCTGGTGATTATTTCCCTGTAGCTGCTGAGGAAGTGTGATCACAGTACGAGTTTTTCCAGACATCTTTAAAAATCTGTTGCCGTTGTGCGTCCTGTAGATGTCATCTCTGTAAAGCACTTTGGGTTTCAAATCGCCTAAAGGCAGGTTTTGAGCAGGAGGGCGTCTGTGCAGCTGGAACGCCGTCTACTGCTTCCCCTTGCATCATCTCCAGCTCCACTCTGCCATATGAATGCCAGACATTAAGAACAGGATCATCTGCTGAAGTTTTAGTTCGCCTTGGTAAAGACAGCTAGGATTCTCTGCCTCCTTATTTGGACACAGTACCTTCACGCTGGCAACCTATTCCACCTCCACCAGTCACGATGACATGTTGCCCGTGGAGGTCACATCGATAAATTGAGTCTGGATTTCCTGCTTTCCTCGGCATCGTCGCTCCATACAGCGACAGTTTCCGTGACTTCTGGTCCCATGGCGTGTTCTGGACCCCGGGCATTCCTGGCTGGCTCCTGCTCGGGCAACCCTGATGGCTTCACCTCAGCCCTCCTCAGGAAGTGGATCAGTCAAACCTCCGGCCGGTGGCACAGGCTTTTGCCACTCCAGAAATCTCCAACCCGGCTTCCGGATCAGACAGGGATTAATAAACGTAAGATCGGTGGCAAATAAGACTTTTATTTTGAAGGATTTCTTTCCTTCATGTGTTTTGGATCGCTGCCTGACTTAAGTTTGAGCTTTGTGGGAACAGAACCACTCGCCTCTGTTACTGTGTGCAGTAGCGTACCGACCTCCTCGGCATGATAAGGTTTTTTAGCTGAATTGTCAGACTTTCTGCCAACTGGGCTCCGTGGTACGACTAAATCCTGCTGTTGGGGGTTTTAATCTCCACGTCTGCTGCTCAGGAAGCCTCTGGCTGAGGACATCTTGGACTTGCTAAACATTTTTAATTTAGTTCAGTCTATAAATGTGGTCTCACTTTGGACTTAGTTTTATCATTTGGCCTGTCTGTGGGTAACTTAATGTCCAGGACGTTGTTTTCTGATCACATGCCCTCTCAGGTAAGTAAGCCTGGTGCACCTGCCCGACCCTGTCATTCTTTTTTCACCCTTCTTTGTTGATGGAGGCAGCAGAAGCTCTGGAGGTTGAGCGGGTTGTCCAGTAATTGGAAGGTTGCAGGTTTGATCCCAGCTCTGGACAGAGAATTCTGCTGTTGTGTCCTTGGGCAAGACACTTCGGAGGGACCGGTGACGCCTCAGTCAGCGCGCCCTAGGGCAGCTGTGGCTACATGGTAGCTCATCACCACCAGTGTGTGAATGTGTGTGTGATGCACTGAAGTGTAAAGCACTTTGGAGTCCTCTGACTCAGAAAGGCACTAAACTAGTGCGGGTCATTCCACCCGCCTGTGCATGTCCCGAGTTCATGTTGCTCTGCCTGAATCAGAGACGCCTGTGCTGAAGGCTAAACCGTGTGGTTACCCAAATGATGTCATTCCTCCGTGGTTTCACCACATATTCTGGACTTGATTCCAGTCAGGTCAGGTGCCGAGCGGTTTCAGGCACCCGCTACTTAAGACGCCGGGCTCGGACACGTCGATCATTTCAGACCTATTGTAAAACTGCCTTTTGAGTAAGATCATGGAAAAAAATGTTCATGCTCAGTTAATGGACTACTTAAATACTTTTCACATTCCAGAGGTCCTTCAGTCCGGCTTTAAGCCCCTTCACAGCACAGAGACAATTCAATTCAGTTCAAAAATACTTTATTAATCCCAGAGGGAAATTGATTGCTGTAGTAGCTCATAATAATAATAATCAAGTCATCAAAGAACATGACCCTGACAGTGCTGCCTGCTTTGTCCAGATGACAGTGGATTGGTTGAAGCAGCTGGATGATGGTATCTTCAACTCCAACTCCATGGCGATAAGCAAACTGCAGCAGGTACTGATATGTCCTAGTTTGCTTATTTAGGTGGACCAACAGGACCTTCATGATGTGGGATGTCAGGGCAACCGGTCTGTAGTCATCAATGACTGATGAGCGAGTTTTCTTTGGAACTGGAACAAGGCAGGATGTCTTCCACAGGACTAGAACCTTCTCCTGGGCCAGGCTGAGGTTGAAGAGGTGCTGCAGAATCCCACAGAGCTGCTCTGCACAGGCCTTCAGTACCCTGGGGCTGACACCATCCGGACCTGCAGCCTTGTTCCTGTTCAATCTCTCCAGCTGCCTCTTCACCTGACTTCTAGAGACAGATAGGTGGGAGGGGGAGGTAAATGGGGCAGCAGCATCTCCTGACTTGGTTGAAGACTGATTTATAGAACCAGAAGAGTCCATGACTGCGTTGAAGGACAAAAGAGCTGGCGTGTGACAGGAAAATGTTGGATCAGAGGAGGATGGGATGTCTGATTGGCTGGGGACAGGCGAGGAGGATGCCGGGTTTGTTCCTGAACTGAACCTATTGAAGAACTTGTTCAGTTCATTGGCTGTGTCCAGGCTGCCATCTGTGCAATCCTTCCTCTGCGTGAAACCTGTGATCTTCTTCATCCCTGACCAGACATCTCTGATATTGTTCCTCTGTAGGTTGTTCTCCGGCTTCTTCCTGTATGCCTCCTTGCTGTCTCTGATCTTGATCTTCAGTTGCTTCTGTATACTCCTCAATAATTCCCTGTCTCCCTCCTTGAAGGCTTTTTTCTCATTTAGCAGATTCTTCAGTTCACTGGTGATCCAGGGTTTGTTAAGGGTTTTGCAGACGATTCACATAGAAGTAACGAGTGACATTTGGATGGGGTAAGCATGTGTCGCTGGCGTTAGACCTGACGGCTGCTTTTGACACAGCTGATCAGACGTACCGATCTCTCGGCTACAACACTGCGTTTAGCTCTGCTGTGGGTAAAATCACATCTCCAACAGGACAAGGTGGGTTCTGTTCCATCTTCTGTGACCCATCTGCCATTTGGTGTACCAAAGGGATCCTTTGGTTTGTTTATCTACATCCAAAGCGTTTAATAAAAGAAAACTTGCTGAGAAGTTACAGATTTTAGAAACAAACCGTAAAAAGCGGCGTCTTTTGTTAAAATCTTCTTTGTTCCTCCAGATGTTGATGAATGTGAAGACAGGACGGCGTGTCCTTCTGGGATCTGCCATAACGAACCGGGGAGCTTCAGCTGTGGCTCCTGTCCTGACGGATTCTTAGGGAAAGACGGCCAGTGTGTCGGTAAGTTCAGCTCAGGTGGGAACACACAGTTTCTCCATTAAAGCCTCGTGTTTGCAGAGAGTTACGGTGTAGTTTGGTTGATGGTGTCTCATCATGTGTGTTCGGGGTTTGGTCTTTAGTTACCTGTATCTCTGTTTATCCTTTCTCTCTCGTCGGTCAGCACCTTCAGCCCACAGCTAAACAGTCCTCAGGTTGTAACCTATTTTATCACTAAATCTTTTTAAATCTCATTTTGGGTCCATCAATAGTTCCAATAATGACATCTTCTGCTTACCTGGGTTTGGGTCGCAGGCCTTTGTAAGGAAGCCCAGACCCAGTCCTGGGTCAACCCTTGGGCCTCCTGCCGGTAGGACATGCAGAAACATCTCCCACAGGAGGTGTGGAGGAGTTTTAACATTTCTGAACCTCCTCAGCTGTGTTGGTGTGCCGCACATGACCAGGATAAGCGATGATGACGATGATCTCCTGACTTATCGGGGCTGGTCCTCTTACAGGAGACAAAACTTTTATCTAACTCACTTTAATAAAATATATTATTTTGTTTCATAAAATGATTTCCTAATGTTACAAGTTATTTACAATCATATTCTTTTAACTATAGTGTTTAATAATCCTGACAGTTTCACAGCAATGAATGAATCAACAAAAATGTTTATTCTGGAAATGATGCTTTATTTACACCCCATGAGTCTACTTAATGATTTATTATCAGGTTAGTCACAGTTTAATATTCCTATATTGATAAATGACGGTTTCATAGATTGAGGAATGAGGGATTTTGATAACGCCCACTATTACACCTTCTAGATTCTGGTTGGTCCAAATTGATAAACAGCAGATATTAAAAGAGAATTCACTTCCTGAATTGTTCAGTTCTAGCGAGGTCCAGTTAGGCCAACTGGGTCAGTGCTAGCCTGGCCTGCCAGACTCCTCCTGTTTAATTCTGCACAGAGAAAGGGTCTGGGAACGCTCCTATTCCAATAGCCCCACCCCCTGAGATTCTAACCGAGCCAATCAGTGCTGAGTAGCATACGTCACACACCATAACGCTGTCAGTAGCATAAGGAAGCAACTTTTCTTTGCAAAACTGCATCAGAGAATCAACTCTTCAGACGTACAACGTCTCGCCGCCAGCAGACCCGGGTCTGCTGATTCATTCATTACTGTGAGACAGTCGGGGTTATTAAATCATGTGCGCCCCAGGGCAGCTGTGGCTACATTGTAGCTCCTCTCCACCAGCGTGTGAATGACTGATTGTGTTGTGAAGGAAGGCGCTATACAAAAACGGGGCATTTTACCTTCCAGCATAGCTCCAACACCACGGATGCGTGTCCCGTTCCTTCCCGTCCTTACAAAGAGACGAGGCCCCAGCGTTTGTTGTTTTTAAAGGGTTTCCTGGAAAAGTTTGATATTTATGCACAAGCACTCATTCTTCGTTCTGACACAGCCCTAAACCCTCCCAAACCTGTTTCTTTAACTAGTATTTGGATATTTTAGTTATGTGATAGAACGTTAATCTGTTCGAGTGCATTTGTGACAATTAGCCATCGATGGACTAAAAGCAGTCTCAACTATTCAGAACATCTTTTCTAGCCTCCACATACAGAAATCAGCCCGGGAAATGCACGCAGAGAAGAACCAGCCTCTAATCAGGCGGTGAATAAACAAACCAGCACTACTGGACCCATTTTTATCCTGGAAGGCCTGAATCCCGCGGCAGAAACCAGATATGTGCTTCAGCTTGCTTCGCCTGCCTCTCTGTGACACGGGGTTAGCCAGTTGGTTTTGGCTGTTTGACTCAAACCCAACAGGGCAGGCCAAGCCACATCCTGGGTGGGGGGGGGGGAAGCATAATTTTCTTTCTTCTTTCATTTAATTAGATTTGCTGGCAGATTGTTCCTTTGCTGTTTGTTTATTATTGTTTACAGCTCGCCTTCACAGATCTTCCTTTAGACTCTGTGAGCTCTACTGTTTATGCAACAGCTGTTATAATAAATGTGAGACTAGTCCGTTGCTTAAGCGTTTGTTGATGTGAACTTCTTCCATCCTTTCCAGATGTAGACGAGTGCCAGGATGAGCGGGTCTGCATCAGAGGCCACTGCCAAAACACCCGCGGCTCATTCTTCTGTCGGTGTGGGCCCGGTTTCAGAGTGTCGCCTGCTGGAGACCAGTGTGATGGTAGGAGCCGTAAATCTTTAGACACTTAACCCTCCCACTGTCCCAATGGGGGTGACCCCGCGAGGAAAGTTGACCATTGAGCAGGGTTGGTGGTTTATCCCTTGAGGTCCACGTGGCAGGGGTGAGGTGGTGCTCACTCCTCACCCCTGCCACATGGACCCATAAAGACAGTGGGAGGGTTAAGAAAAACAGTTTCACTGCTCAAAAGGCAATCTTCACAGATTCTATTTTTCTATTCAATTCAAGTTTACTTACGTAGCGCCAAATAACGACCAGAGTCGTCTCAAGGACCTTCACACAGTAAACTTTCCAGTACAGGTCAGGTCATTAAGCCAATCAGTAAAAAGTTTCCTATATGAGGAACCCAGCAGGTTGCATCAATCATTAAAGTTAATTTTATTTGCAGATGTTACAAAAATTTTCTGTTCTGGGGATAATTACAAGGAACTCCTACATACGCTCGACTCAGAACTACAAAAAAGTAGTTTGAAAGACGACCGTAGACTCCGCCTGACGACTTACTTCTTATTTTTGATGTGTCTGAGAAAAGTCTTCATCATAAATTAAATATCAACTTCAGATTTTTTTTCCACAATAATTTTTATTATTGAAAATTACTTCAACTTTTTTAACTTTTGCAGAATGAGTTTGGAAATTGTGTTTATCAGTACCGGGCTGGATCGTCATTTCTACAGTTAGGAGATAATGTGTGGCTCTGAGTCAGAACCTGGCATATTAATACTTGATTGTGCAGCACTTTTGCCTTTCAGTCTAATATACTAATCAATAAAAATGGAATTGCCCCCACTGCCTTGAACACCAGCGCTGTTGTGTTGCAGCTGATTAAGTGACGAGTCAGCTGCAGATTCCACCTGTTCCTCTGTTTTTGCGTGTTTCTGTTTTATGACTCCAGAACTGCTGATGGGACACACACACATGGTTTTAATTAAGCAGGCCTCGTTTCTGTCTTAGACCTGAGTAATCGCTCACAGATTCTCAGCTGTAAACCCACTGGTTCAGCAGTTCCTCCAGATTAAATGCTCTGTTTTGGGTTAAAATCCCAACATTAACATCAAGTTTGTTGTTTCTACTGTTTAATGAAAACTCAGTGGTTCGTGTGTTTCTGTACAGGGGGCTGTTCCACAGAGCGATCCAATCCCAAATCAGGCTTTCTTTTGAAAATCCCGGTGGAACTGCCCCTGAATCGGTTCTACGAACATGACTAGCCTGAAGCCCCTCCCAGTCACCATGGTAACATGCTAGAGAACAAACCTGCTCCATGGCAGGCTAGCAGCTAGGCTAGCTGACGCTTTGTGAATATGATTGGACGAGGAAAGTGACGTCCCTTTTCTTGTGGGTGGCTGGCAGCTACGAGGTGGTGAATCAGCGCCACCGCTGGCCCGCAGCGGTAGCAGCTTCATGGCTAAATCATTCATACATGTGGAGTTTTTAAACATGAGCTCTACTGGATTTACATCTTTGTTGTATTTAACCTCATTAGCAGCGTTTGATTCCACTGATGTCAGCATTATTAATAAGTATAATTACATTTCAGCTTTAGTCTGGGATGGACCCATATCATTAACATGTTAAATAGCCTTAAACTAGCTTACGGCTGCTAACATAAGACATGTAGCAGGAAATGCTTTATCGGAGTGACTATATATGTACTCTGGTCACACGAGTCAAACACGCTAATATCTGATTTAAATGACATACATGATGTTTCTCCTCGGTGTGTAATATATGTGCTAAATGTGTATTTGTGACAAACGGTTTACAGCGTTAACTTCAGGGTCACATGACCACCGCAAATTCTTAAAACTCACAGCTGCTCAGCAGAAACAAAGTCCTCCAGTCTCTAAACATCCAGACTCTGGAGCAGAACATGAAAACCACATAAATGATGAGAGCTTTAATAAAATATGTGGAGAAACAGGAACTGAAGTGGACTTCCTGTGTTGCCATGGAAACATGGAAATGCTCAGCGTGCTAACTAAATAGCTCCAGCTACACAGATTCTAACAGCTCATGGTCTCTGTTGTAGTTCTGATATCTCTGTAGTCCTCGTAGGCATGGATGAATAATTATCGCTCCATCTGGATGAAGAACGAGGCTCTGTCCTTTCCTTCCATTCTCATTTATCTGGCATCGATTAACAGGGTCTGCCTGTGGACGCCGATCCTTCCTTGGATTAGAGGGGATTGAGTCCACCTGAGAAACGTTTGTGGATCGGGCAAAACCGAGAGGGGAGGGGCGCACTTTGTCAAGCAGGGATTTGTCAGGAAAGCCCTGCTGTTCTAAACTCGCCTTCTGTAACACCCCCAGATGTGAATGAGTGTGAGGAGCAGAACAGAGTCTGTGGAGATGTAGGAGACTGTATCAACAACTTGGGCTCCTACACCTGTACCTGCCCTGAGGGGTATCGCCAGGTGAACGGCACCAGCTGCAGAGGTACACTCATTCTCACAGTTCATGTTAACTGTTAGTTACTCTATAGCAGGGGTTTTCTGTCCCGGCAGGTTTTAGTTTTAACCTGCTTCAGCACACCTGATTTCAGTCAGCAGGTGATTAACAGGCTTCTGCAGAGCCTGATGAGCTGCACGGGTGATTCAACCACTGAATCTAGTGTGTTGGAGCAGACAAACCACTAAAACATGCTGGATACCAGCCCTCCAGGCCCAGAATTGAATACCCCTGCTCTATAGTCTCATTTTTTACTCTCCTGTTGTGAAAGCTATTGTAGCTATTGTAATTCTAGTCTAGTTTAAACAGGTTTCAGTGATCAGCCCATCAGACCCTTTAATTTACTGAATCTTAGCATTTTCATCCCCGTGCTGTTGTCAGGCTCTCTGATTACAGCAGGATCCCAGTTTTAGGGCTCCACAGAGCTAGAGAAACCAGTCCAGACACGCAGCTTTAAGTGGTTTCTGTCTGTCGTCTCAGATGTCGACGAATGTGTGGAAGAAGCAGAACTCTGCCACCCTCATGGCAGATGTGTAAACACTGAGGGGTCCTATCAGTGTGTGTGTGATCCTGGGTTCACCGCCAGCCTCAACACACCATCTTGTGATGGTAAGATGCAACTACACACACACACACACACACACACACACACACACACACACACACACACACACACACACACACACACACACACACACACACACACACAGGTCTTATCTACAGTACCCCACTATATACTGTACTTTCTCAGTTTCATGGTTTTTATTAACACATCAAATGAAAACATAGTTTTATTTAGTAAAACCATTTTAATTTTAGTCCAACTACCCAAAATGATGTCATAAACAAAACATCGTTATTTTGTTGGACAGTCGGAGAAGTCTCTCTCCCCAGCAACACTCTCCAGCTCCCCCTGGAGGATCCCGGGATTTATCCCGGGCCTAGGAAGGAGATTTATTCCCTTCAGTGAGTTCTGGCTCACCAGATCTTTCTGAAGAATCCCTTCAGGATCTCAGGAATGATCTCACAGAACTTTTAGACTGCCTCAATGATCTCTACCAGGGTAAATTGTGGTAAGGCCTCAAGTGCGTGGTGATTGTGCAAAAATTTGCCAAATTGGGACAGGGAGCATTGTGCTGTGCCGGGATGCTGGTTGCTGTGCTACTTAAAGAAAAAAATAACTTTATTAACATCTTTCAAATGAACAAGCAAACTCTTTGAAATAAATTTACATCAACAGATCATCCTAGATGAACTACTTTCATTAGAAAATACATATTTACAGAAAAAGCACTTGGGTCTTTCTCCCACAGCAATGGATTGTGGGTAATACCCTTCACCCAAGTCCGCATCGATGCAGACTTGGGTGAAGTCCGGATTAAGATTGCAAAGGGTCAACGTCCGCACTTGAGAATTGGGACACCCTACGCACTTCCACCCCTGGCTGGGATCTCACGAGTATTGGGATTGGGCCAAAGTCTTCCCCTTTGTCTGGGTCAGCAGTTCCCCACCCAGAACCCAGTAGAGCCTGGGATGGGCTGGGGTTTTGGTTTGTCAGAACCTCCTTTGGGCCAAACAAAGGTTCTTCTCCATGGCTGTTTTAAATTCCTCCGACACCTGAGTTTTTGACTCTGTGGCCAGGAGATGCAGTCCTTCTGTTCATTCTGTGCCTGTAAGCTGCCCCAGAGGTCTTCTGGGATACCTCACCCCCAGTCCATTGCAGAGACAGCAGTGCAGAATGGCAGCAGAATCCGTTATAGTCCAGAGAGTTGATCCAAACCGGCCGCGGCGCGGAACATTTCAGGTGCGTCGCAGAAACGACTCGCTGCACCACTAAAGAGAGGATTGGGTTGTACTTTTGCATTGAGTCGCATCTGGTTCACATCAACATCCACAGTTTACATAGGGGTAGACAGGAAATCACACACGCTTTCAGTGTAAAACGTTTGCTATTTTTCTAAATAAAAGACTATTGCAGAGATGAGATTTCTTATCTATGAAGATTGCTTTAACACGTGCAACCTAACAGCTTTTTACGCCCAGCATCTTTAGAGAAGTGCAGCAGTGTGGCTTTAATCCTGGCACTGGAGAGGAACAACCTTATCAATGACATCAAACAGCGATGCCAAACCTGAAGGCGGACGGCATTAACAAACCGTGACCTTTGAAGTCTCAAGGGAAGGCAGAGAAGCTGCATCGCACCTGAAACGCTCCCCGGTGTGGATCGATGCTCCGCGTAGCACGCGAGTAGACCATTCAGCACTGCTGATGTCCCCAGTGTGGACTGGAGGTCTGACAAAGGTCACCATTTTTCTAGTTCAGGCACTGCTCCTGGAATCAGCATCTCCCCAAACACAACCCTCTCCATCTCTGAGGGGGAACACTCTTTGGGGCTTGAGATGAAGATTATGGTCCATGACATCTTTAACTCACATCTTCAGGGGCTCGTTTTTCTTCTCCATCCCTCTGTTTCTCATATGGTGCTGCTACTTTCTCCACTTTGGTAGGATTCTGGGTCTGTGTGCCAAAGCTGTTTTTAATGCCCTCGCCTTTCCAGAAAGTCGAGGAGAAAATAAAAAATAGAGGAACAAAAACAGACAGAAGCCTTTAAGCTGGCTGTCTAGACTAGGAGGGATATTTGCTGCCCTCCGTCTCATGATTTATGCAGACTCAGACCCAAGTGGAAACGTGTGTGTGTGTGTGTGTGTGTGTGTGTGTGTGTGTGTGTGTGTGTGTGTGTGTGTGTGTGTGTGTGTGTGTGTGTGTGTGTGTGTGTGTGTGTGTGTGTGTGTGTGTGTGTGTGTGTGTGTGTGTGTGTGTGTGTGTGTGTGTGTGTGTGTGTGTGTGTGTGTGTGTGTGTGTGTGTGTGTGTGTGTGTATTTTTATAAAACCAAGTCATTTGTGCGTTTTCTGCTCCAGCAGATGTTTTGGCAGTAAGCTATACTGGTATTAAGGTTCACCTTTCATGTTGCTGGTTTTGCGTAAAACCAACGGCTTTACTTCCTTTTCTGTGATTAAAGCAGCATTTTGGACTTTTCTCTGCTCTGTGGGTTTCAGACATTGATGAGTGCGGGCTCAATGAGACTCGATGTGGGCTCCACGGGTTCTGTGAGAACAGACTGGGTTCGTTCCAGTGTGTGTGTGACCAGGGCTACCAGGCCTCCCAGGACGAGAAGAGCTGTGAAGGTGAGTGGGTTTGATGCAGTCAGAGAGTAGGTTTTTATTGGCAACATTTGCTGCTCTTCAAATAAAATGGAAGACACCATAACAACAAACAAACACTGATTATTAGACAGACTCGAAACTAAAAGCCCATTTCTGCTCGCATTGTGTGTTAGACGGTTCATCCACTAGAGGGCAGTGCAGAGGAAGGTTTGGATGAATCAGACCTCCACATGGAAGCCTGCCTGACAAACACGAAGGAGCAGTTTCTCCTGATGGCAAGTTTAAAATCTTTGAACAACCAGATCGCTGCTGGACAGCTTCCAGAAGAACACAGAATATCTGCAGTCATTTAGACAGTATTTTGAATTGTAGCGACTAAGCACCAAGAATCAGCAGGTTCAGATCTAAACGTTAAAGAAACTTTTCTTCATCGTGGAATTTTTCAGGAGTTGTGACTTCTTTAATAGTGAATAGGGGTGTGGCCTTAACCCTGACCAGCTCAGATGGGGACGGGTCGCTAGACTTCAAAATAAAGTTCTATTTGAGTGCATAATTTATTTGAAATGACAGCGCGACAGCATAATGACTGGTGGTAAAAACACTTTCCATTCCTCAGGAGGAGGTTGTTCAGGGGGCTTTAAAGCACAGCTGGTCTAACGTTTCTAGACGTGACGTTAGTTTGGCTTTTGTCCCAGACATAAGACAGAGAAGTCTCCCCCAGTGGTGATGAGGTCTGGGCATGGACATGGGACATGTCCCCCCGGTCCCCCCAGAAATACATCCATGGGTCTGGGTCATTTTGAACACATCAGTGCTGTTAGCTGATGCTTTAGGTCATTTCTGTACATTTAAACCTGAATGAATTAGTCTCACTGCCTATATCAACCCCTCGTACAACATCCTGTCACATCAATGCTCATCTGAGGTCAGGATTAGTACCTTCATCAGAAAACTGCCAGTCCTATTTGTGTCTGCTGCCCCCTGGTGGAGGATCTGATGTTAGAGTGTTAAAGTAAATGAAGTACTGATATACATTTTTACACACACCAGTGGGGATGTAAGAATGACATCATTATGGTAATATATTGTGATATTTTTTACAGCGATATTATTATATCGATATTCAAAAGCTGTGCATCAAAATTTGGGGAGAATTTACATGCAAACATTTGTGTATTTTCTTTTTTGTTTTTGGTGCCATTCAAACACCGACCACTAGTTGGCAGCAGTGTGCAGTGGGTTTTGTTTCCATCACTGAAATGTAAATCTCAGTTATGGTTCAGATACCTCATATTAAACATGTTACGTATCACTTTGGACTGTTAACTGCTAATATCGTCAGGCTGAATGTATCGCAATATATCGTGAAGTATCGTCTCCCCGTATCGTGATGCGTATCGTATCACCAGAATTTCACCAATACACATCCCTAGTGACCATAATCAACATCAGAGCAGACTGAAGCTGCTGGTTTCAGTTCCTCTGTCCGTCCGTTTTCAGCTGCTTATCTGGGGCAGCATTGTGTTTCTTAGCCATCTGGTTGTAGGCCACCAAACCTAGTGACTAAACTAAAACCGTAAAAGACTCATTGTGTCACATCCAGAACGTCTCTAACACACTTGCCACACTTCCCGTCTGTCCCTTGGGCATCTGTGCGTGGTCCCACCCTGGTTCAGCCCATCTTGCTGTTTGCTGTAAAGCAGCCAAACATCACTGTTCTGCGGTCTGCACACATGGACTCACTTACACACAAACACACGGCCAGGCCGGTGGTTTACCGCTAACCCCTCAGAGGGAGCGTTCTTCTACTCTCCACCAAACAGATCAGCATCGTCTTTTCCATCTCTCCTCCTCGTCCCGTTCTTCTGTGTTTTCTTAGCTTTCCTTCTAACATTTGTCTTCATTTATCACTGAAGACACTAACAGATTTATTCTTCTTTCTGTCACACTTCACAGGTTTCCAGCTACATCGTGTTAGCTTTAAGGGGGAAGTTTTCATTGCCTACAGCGGTTTCTTTTTTTTCTAAATGATGGTGGCGCAGTTGTTAGCACTGTTGTCTCGCAGCACGAAGGTTGCAGGTTCGAAATTTGGCTGTGGCCTTTCTGTGTGGAGTTGTATGTTCTCCTCATGCATGCGTGGGCTTCCCCCACAGATCACCACATGCCCTATAGGTTAAGTATTGTACGTCACATTGGATAAAAACATCTGCCAAATAAACATAGATGAAAAAGTAGCATAATCTCTTAAAGGTAGTGGCCAGACTCGGCATTAAAATAGTAGAAATACAGTATAACTACACTTTACCATCTATATAAATATGAACTGGGTTCAGTTTTTCATTTTGTTAAGGAATTTAGTCATAAATCATTACAGAAAATCTAAATTCTCTCCTCCAGGCAGCGAAGAACTGTGTTTTGCATACGTCACTCACACACGTCATACTAGGTAGCTGCTGTTGCTAACACGGTAAATCACTGTATTTTGTTTACTATCGTGTTCCTAATTAAAACAGAAAACTGTGTCTACAGCTGCAGCTAAAGGTCTGAGCCATATATCTGTGTCCTACACGTATTTTTAACTTGCATAGGTTTGATCTAAAATAATAACCTACATCTATAAATCCATTTAGAACCGCAGGAACTTCTGGACTCCAGCAGGTGGGTCCCGTTAGCATGATTGCCGCAGCACTAACCAACACACACACACACACACACACACACACACACACACACACACACACGCACAGATATAATCTAAAAGATGATCCCCATTTTTCAACAATAGATTCTCCTATAGGACCGGTGTTCTGATATCCAGCTGCAGGGCACGGAGTTCAGTTGAACGTCTCCGGTAATCCAATATCCATTCTTGTCGCCGTAGTTTCTGTTTTTCCCGCGCCAGTAAAAAACATCAGATTTTCTTTCAATTCCAGCCGTGAAAAAACAAAAACCTTTTTCATCTGAGATTTTAATACTTCTTTACACATGCTGTTCAAAGGAATTTTGCCTCTGGCCAATATCTTTAAGTCTAGTCAGCATCAGCATGCAGCTGTACCTCAGTCCTAGAAGCTGGAACAAGCTGCATCTGTTCAGACTCCGTGGCTTCCAACACGCATGGTTCTCCGACTCCATGAATGATACCAGAAAGGATCAGATTCACAAGCTTCTTCAGGAGTTTGTTTCCTTTAAACCCAGAGTGTCGTAACTTCCTGTTGTCAGGCTCATTTATCATCTCCTCTTCTTTTCAGATGTGAACGAGTGTGAGCTGCTGAGCAGTGTGTGTGGAGAGGCCGAGTGTGTGAACGTAGACGGCACCTTCTTGTGTGTGTGTCCCAGCGGCCAGGATTACAACTTCATGACAGCCAAGTGTGAGAGCATTCCCAAAGGTAAATCCGCAGATTTTCACTAGACACTCAGACAGGAAGTAAACCGGGCTGCACGGTGGAGCAGCTGTAGCAGGGAGATTATCGCAGCTTTGATTCCCAGCTGCAGCCTTTATGCGTAGTTAGCATGTATTTGTTAGCCCCACCAAATAACTCGTCGTCGTCTTCCTCCACTTATCCGGGTCCGGGTCACGGGGGCAGCATCCCAACTAGGGAGCTCGAGACCGTCCTCTCCCCGGCCACCTCCACCAGCTCCTCCGGCAGGACCCCAAGGCGTTCCCGGAACAAATTGGAGATGTAACCTCTCCAACGTGTCCTGGGTCGACCCGGCAGCCTCCTGCTGGCAGGACATGCCTGAAACACCTCCCCAGGGAGGCATCCAGGAGGCATCCTGACCAGATGCCCAAACCACCTCAACTGACTCCTTTCGATCCGGAGGAGCAGCGGTTCTACTACGAGTCCCTCCCGAATGTTTGAGCTCCTCACCCTATCTCTAAGGCTGAGCCCGGCCACCCTACGGAGGAAACTCATTTCGGCCGCTTGTATCCGCGATCTTGTTCTTTTGGTCATTACCCAAAGCTCATGACCGACCGTAGGTGAGGATTGGGACGTAGATCGACTGGTAAATCGATAGCCTGGCTTTCTGGCTCAGCTCCTTCTTCACCACGACAGATCGGCTCAGCGTCCGCATCACTGCAGACGCCGAATCAATCCGCCTGTCGATCTCCCGATCCCTCCTACCCTCACTCGTGAACAAGACCCCGAGATACTTAAACTCCTCCACTTGAGGTAGGACCTCTCTCCCGACCCGGAGTTGGCAAGCCACCCAAATAACTCCTGTAGGACAATTATTCTTTTATTTTCCTGTAAGCAATTCTGCCACAAACTTTGTAAAAAGTCTTTCTTGCATCTTTAAACAAACATAAAAAACACTCAAACTGCACATCAAAGCATGCAGTTGAAATGGGAACGGTGTGCTGGCTTGTAGCTGAAATATTACCTATGACACACGTGTCAGACACAAGGCCCATGGAGCATTTTTATGTGGCCTGCGAAATAAGTATCAAAAATACATTAAAACTGACCCGCTGGCCGATTTTACCACAACAACTACAACTCCTATGATGCTTTGCGGCGTTAGCGCGGAACCGAAGCGCCCCCTCCTTTGTGTTTTTTCCAGCGTCTGCTGCCGGTGTCTGCAGCTCCGCTGTCTCGGACAAACTAAACATTCCTCTCTCTCAGCGCCGAGTTTACTCAGCTATTTGCTGATGTTGAAGCCCAGAAACAGAGATTTTAACCGCTCAGTAATGTGTTCACGACTGACAGAGAAAGTTTTCCAACTAACTTCCAGACAGAGCTGATATAACTCCAGTGAGCAGCGACACGCTCAAACCAGCATGACTCTGTGGCTGCTGTCGTTGTTATTTTTCCTCCCCGACACACAACGACGTGGTCAAGCTGCTCAGACATGTTCATCAGCACAAACCTATGTGAGCACCTGTTGTCATCTAATGTTGTCATTATTATGATGAAGATGAACAAAACAACAGGAGTATCCTCCTCAGCTCAGATCAGCCCCATGATGCAGGTATCTGGCTGGAACAGGTGAGCATCACAGTAAACCAGTGGAGCAAACAGCTTTAAATATTTAGGTTTTATGCTCTTTTTCTGCTCCAAAACATGAAAGTTAACAGGTGAGATGTTGCATTTTCATTTAAGATAAAATTATTTTTTTTTTGTTGTTGGCCCGTGAGAAAAGATTTAACCTACAGTAAACAGGAAGTGGAAAGGCTGCAGATAGATGAATAGAATAGAAAATCCCTTTATTGTTCCTCAGTGGGGAAAGCTAGACGTCACAGCAGCGATGACACTTATTACAGGAGAAAAAGGAGAATAAAAATAAGAAAAACGAACAAACAAGAAAACATAAATCCTGAATAGATTTTAAAAATGCTGATTATACCACAAGTAATGAATACCACTGATGCCTTTTATTTAAAACTGACTTGCTCGTGTGTAATTTGGTTATTCCACATTCAGCGTTAATGCAAAAATAAGTTTGTTTCCAAATTTAAAGGTTCAAAATTGCATTTATGTTGATAAAGAAAATGTGCAAATTTGCCGTCACTTTTTCAAAAAATATTAAGTTTGGCCCTCGACTCCATCCCAGAGTTTCATTTGGGCCCCGTGTGAGTTTGAGTTTGACACCCCTGCTCTATGATGACAGAATTAAAAAAAAAAAAAAAAAAAAAAAAGATCATAATAACCTGAGAAATTTTCCAGTTGGTAACAGTCTGGTAAATAAGGTGATGTAGTCCCGCCCCCTCTGGGCCTCTAAAGCACAGGTAGACATCCCAGAAGAAACATCATCAAGAGTTTAAACAGCTCACAGGAAGCTGGCCTTCCTATGATCTTGTTGATGGCTTTTACCTGCCAGCTGATGATGTCACAACAACTTTGTAAAATCTTACAAACTTGAGTAAAAACACCATAACGAAGACCCACAGCAGCAAATGTATGGAGGTAAAAAGGGCAGACACGTATGGAACTAGGATTGGGACAATATTACATGTAGCTTGTACCAAGCTTTGTAACCTGTAACATCTTTTGTAACTGTAACTTTCAGTTTGTAGCATGTAATTCTCTTTTTGTAACTGTAACTTTGTTTTGTAACTTGCAGAAAACAATCAAATCACACATCTCAGTCTATAGTTACAAAACTCATGATTACAAGCACAAAACATTTTGTCCCAATTCTGGCTTCCTTCCCAAAGAACCAATGACAAGCTTTATCTGACCAGCTAACCATGAGTCTTGGATTCCTGTCGAAGTCAATTCCTGTTGGAAGCGAGCTAGAATTGGGCCAAAATATAGTCTAGTCTATTTTTAAGGTCCGGGTGGTTCCACCAGCCTGAAAAACTCATCATTGCTTAGCGGAGGTTAGCAGAGATCGGCCGTGTTCATTTTTTCATCCATTCATCTTTCAGCACCTCCAGTGGAGAGGAAGGAGTGTTACTATAACCTGAACGATGAGAACCTGTGTGAGAGCGTGCTGACCAGCCATGTCACGCTGCAGGAGTGCTGCTGTACGCTGGGAGCTGGCTGGGGGGACAACTGTGAGGTGTATCCCTGTCCTGTCAACGGTACAGGTGAGGAAGAAGAAATCCTGTGAGAATGGTACAAAAGCAAGGACACTGAGGGATAGATGAAGGAAAGCAGACTGATCCACACGTGATATCATTGATGCCAACGCTGTTAGAAGTTTGAGTCTGCCAGGCCACTCAGGCCCACTAAAACCCATGTCTGTGTTTTGTGATCATTTCATCAGCTGGGTGAAATGGGTGATAATGGCCCAGTTTTTACTTGGTTTAGGATTCATACAGCATGTACTATGTCCTATTTAAGTCTTCAAGTTGTGGAATTAGAGCTTTTCTGGTCAAATCTGGATGATAACGTTACGCTGAGTCTTCTGCTGCTGATGGTTCTGAGTCTTTCACCCTTCTGGGCTCCAGGCAGGGAAACGGATCTCAGACTTACCAGATGCCAGCATTTCTTTAGAGTATCGTCTTCATGTGAATTCCTGTTTAAGCCGGGCGTACACTGTGCGACTTTTTCACTTTTTTGTGCCGATTTTCCACTCGTGCGAGAATCCACGAGATCGGGGCGAGTTTTGCGCCGAGCGGTCGTGTAGTGTACAGGGGGTTACGAGAGGCAATTAACACCACGTGACCAGCTGCCGATCAGCAATCGTGAGCTCGCACGGACTTCTGGCGTGTTTAATATTTCTCTCGTCCCTCGTGAGTGTATCACACTGTTGAAGCGGCGCTGCGAGCAGCTGCGACCCAAACAGTATCAGAACCGCTCACGGCGCATGCGCAATCCTGCATCAACGCCGCTCGCTATTTCCCTAATAACACACGCTGTTCGTTTTTGTTTCTACACGTTTTTTTTTACTCACAAAGATTGTCAAGAAAGCGTGTTTGTCGTGTTCATGTCAAATTAAACTGATCACAAAACACAGATTTACTTTGTTTATTTCGTTTTCCTCATCCAACCCCCCATAAATCCCTGTGTGTCCTCCTGCAGCACTCCCGAAGGACAACAGGCAAAACAAGACAAAAACGTCTGACGTGTTGAGTAAAAACTGCTATTTTTAGCATATTTTTAGGGCCGACGTGTTGCTACCAGACGTACAGTGTGAGCAGTCAGGTCGCATCCGAGAACTGGGTCGTGCAGTGTGAGCGTAACTCGTGAGATCTGCCCTGCGAGGAAGTCGTACAGTGTGAGCTGAAGCTGAGTGCTACGAGTGAAAAAGTCACACAGTGTACGCCCGGCTTTAGTGGACATAAATCCTAACCTCCAGACCTCCCTGTTGCTTCCCTTTCAGACCAGTTTAACCAGATGTGCCCATCAGGAAGAGGTTTTATTCCCAGTGAAGATTTGCTTTATGGATTACAATTTTCTGATAACTACAAAGGTAAGATGAGTTCATCATGGTTTTAATAAAGCTTTAGTTAGGATAACATTGACTAACATCTGGCTCAGTGGGATTCAGTTCAGCCTGGGAGGCAACAGTGTAGCTCACAGACCACTAGATATCCTAGTTTCCTCCAGTTACCTCCATCCATCCACCCATCCATCATCCATCTATCATCCATCAATCTATCATCCATCCATCCATCCATCCGTTGAAGCTGTCATCAGCTGATCAGGAGCTAAAGAGGTAGATGTTTTCATCCAAGCGCATCACGGCCGTGAAGAACGAGGAAGACGTGATGAATATCTACGGCTGCAGGTGTGGACCTGCAGCCGTGACCTTCTTAGCGTGACAGCGGGACATCCTGAAGGTCCGCTCACCTGTTCACCGCTCAGACGTCCTGATCTTCTACCTTCCTAGATCATCCAGCTGTAACCTGTTCCTGATCATGTCTTTAGTCCCACTGTAACACTGATGCATCAGTCTCAGACGTCATGGAGCTCAGGTGTTATCAGAACTACCTGTGTGTGTTCACCACCCAGCTTCAGCTCTTCTGTGGTTGGGTCTGACCCAAGTTAGTAAATGTAAGTCCTCCATCAGACTTGTGCCTCTTCTAGTGTCATTTTAAAGGATTTTATTTATTTATTTAACCATTATTAGATTATCAGCAACAGAAATGCTGCTAATAACACACAATTATGTGAAGCTGGAAAAATTAGAATACTGTGCAAAATTACATTTATTTCTGTAATTTAACTAGACCGAGAGACCATTTAAAGGCCCAGGAACCTTTACAGGTGTTTCTATTTGCAATTTTAAATTTTAGCTGACTAGGGTCTTGTTAAATATCACACAGTGACCTTTTAATAGTCTAGATTAGTGTAATGTTCCTGTTAGTAGTTCCTCCTGTTAACTGCTTATTTATACAAATTATTCGGGTTTATAAAAAACATTTGGACTTACATTTTATTATGTTCCAGTCATTAGTCATTTATATTTCACTATTGTAGTCATTTATAGTAAATTAAGTAAGCTGAATTAAGAGGGGAACCCATTTTCCTAGCGTTCTTTAATGAAAAACTTAACTAAGTAGTTATTTTTCTTGGTAATTAGTTACTTTTATAATCTCGTAACTCGGTAAGTAACTGAGTTACTTTTTTGACAGAGTAATCAGTAACTATAACTAATTACTTTTTAAAAGTATCATTCCCAACACTGCCTGTGACCCAGAAAGACTCCAACAGGAAGCAGTTTGAAGAGGATCAGGAGGCAAACCACCAGAACTCACAGCCATCCTCCAAAGGATACATAAATTCACAGATGGAAAAGTTACAGGACGTCAGTAAGAATGGAGCTGGAACGTGGCTCCAACACTGCTTACAGCCAGATTTCTCTCTGGATGCTTTCAGATGCAGATGAATGCTCTTTGTTTGGTCAGGAGGTTTGTAAAGGAGGCTACTGCAAGAACACAGAGGGGAGCTACGAGTGTTACTGCATGGGGGGGCACTACTACGACCCCATCAGTCTGGAGTGTAGAGGTGAGAGAGGAACGCAGCAAAGGGAGGGAGTGTGTGTGTGTGTGTGTGATGGCTGTTTGCTCTTGTTTCCTGCAGATATCAATGAGTGTTTGGATGAGATGCTGTGTGACGGTGGCGAGTGTCAAAACACCGACGGCTCGTACGTATGCATGTGCAGACATCCCCTGGTTCTGGAGCCAGACAGCCACCGCTGTGTCCCGGTTCCTGAGCTGGCCGGTGAGATGGGTTTTCAGTCATTATGTCGTCTAATTATCAGATTGGTTTTGTTTCCTGAATGATTTCAGAGAGTCTGACTTAAGTTTCTGCCGCAGGTTTAATAAACATTCATGTTCAGACAGTTTTTAGTTGGTTGTTGAAACATCAGTCCAGGTAGAAACCTTCTCATGCTGAAGGTGACTGGATGTTTCTGTAGAGCAACAAGAGATGGAGCAGGTGGACTACCAGGGCATCTGCTGGCAGACGGTGACCCAGAGCTTGACGTGTACGCGCCCACTGGGGCCCAACAGGAGGACCACATACACCGAGTGCTGCTGTCGCCACGGGGAGGCCTGGGGCATGGACTGTGCCCTGTGTCCTCCGAGAGAATCGGGTATGCACACACACACACGTCTGTCTTTCTATCTTAGTGAGGACCATCCATTGACTTCCATTAATGTTTGTGACTGTATGTGCCTAACCCCAACCAATGCTGAAGTATTCCAACCTAAACTAAAGCTTCATTCACACCAGACCTCTAAAACCAACTGGTAAACCTTTAAAAGAAAGTGAAGACCACAAAACTGTCCTCACTTTGTAGGTTAGACCCTCATGATGGTCCTCAGTAGGTAGTAATTACAAGAACACACGTTGACAGTCCACCTCCTGAATCTCTAAAGCCGGGCGTACACTGTGCGACTTTTTCACTTTTTTGAGCCGATTTTCCACTCGTGCGAGAATCCACGAGATCGGGGCGAGTTTTGCGCCGAGCGGTCGTGTAGTGTACAGGGGGTTACGAGAGGCGATTAACACCACGTGACCAGCTACCGATCAGCAATCGTGAGCTCGCACGGACTTCTGGCGTGTTTAATATTTTGCTCGTCCCTCGTGAGGGTATCGCACTGTTGAAGCGGCGCTGGGAGCAGCTGCGACCCAAAATGTATCAGAACAGCTCACGGTGCATGCGCAATCCTGCATCAACACCGCTCGCCCATTTCCCTAATAACACACGTTGTTCGTTTTTGTTTCTACATTGGTTTTTTTTACTCGCAAAGATTGTCAAGAAAGCGTGTTTTTGTCGTGTTCATGTCAAATTAAACTGATCACAAAACACAGATTTACTTTCTTTATTTCGTTTTCCTCATCCAACCCCCATAAATCCCTGTGTGTCTCCCTGCAGCACTCCCAAAGGACAACAGGCAAAACAAGACAAAAAAGTCTGACGTGTTGAGTAAAAACTGCTATTTTTAGCATATTTTTAGGTCCGACGTGTTGCTACCAGACGTACAGTGTGAGCAGTCAGGTCGCATCCGAGAACTGGGTCGTGCAGTGTGAGTGCATGACTCGTGAGATCTGCCCTGCGAGGAAGTCGTACAGTTAGAGCTGAAGCTGAAAGCTACGAGTGAAAAAGTCGCACAGTGTACGCCCGGCTTAAATCATCTCTGCTCTTCTGTCTCTTCTACACCCTAGACGATTATGCATCCATGTGTAACATTCCTCTGGGTGGCGGCCGGCGACCGTACGGGAACGACGCCCTTGTTGCCGGTCCAGTCCATGAATATGAAGTGAGCCCAGATTACCTGCCTTCACCTGAGCAGCAGCTGGTCCCAAAGTTTTATGAGAATGAAGAGTGTAAGATTTTATTTTGTCCTTTGTGTTCATGGCTAGGTGCAGAAGTTTAGAGACTGACTCAACTGTTTTCAGCATCTTTAGATCTTTCTGTCAGACGTTTCTATGGTTACAGTAGAATTACAGCATTGAGAGTCCACATCTCCAGTGCTGGTCCTTCTAGGACTCTGTAGTCCACCCTGACCTGCAGGTCCAGATCCTGACTGCTGGAGCTCATTCTTCATCATCTGTGTTGTGTTTGTGTTTGTCCCCCTGCCTCTGGAGGATGGACTACACGTTCTGAGAGGGATGAAGGTCTGGGGAGATTCCTGGACCCAACGTGTAGATCCTCTGGTCCTGATCCACTTAGTTTTGACTAAATCCTTCTGGCCTGGTGCTCCATCATGCTGGAGAAGACATTGTTCATCACCAAGCTGTTGTTGGATGGTTAGAGGAGTTCCTCTGGGGGGGATGTTTAGGTAACATTCTTTATCAGGGTATGTGCAGGAATCTCAAAATTTAATTTAAGACTTTTTCAAGACTTTTTAAGATCTCCACAAAAATAAACGATAATGAACAAGAGTCTGCTTCTAGACCTGCAGAAAGAGAGAAGAAAAAAAAACAATAAACAAACAAAAAAATGGGACACAACAACACAACAAGATCCAGTTATCACTGCGTCAACTTGATGAAGAAATATAAAATCAACATTGTTTAACTGAACAATCACACGATAATAAATCACAGTGCATTAAGTGCCCACCATAGCCTTAAGACCTGTGTTGAACGTGCCCAAGTCCATATTTATGAAAGCACTATGTGAGCACCTGTGTGTGTACACGCACTTGTTTATGTAAGGTTTCTCTAGGAGCGTCCAATAGAGAGTGTGCAGGGCCACAGATCTGCCCCCCAAAGATGTGTAGGAGACAGAGGGAGCTCCAAGTCCCAGAGATCCAGGAGCTGCCCCAGAGCACAGGAACTCCAGGGAGACTGCAACCAGAAAAGCCCCCGCCCCCCTCGAGAGGCACAGAGGATCGCCCCGGGGGGCCACAACCAGCAGCCGGCAGAGTCCCGGGAGATATCAGCGGCAAACCCACAGGCCCGCCCGCAGCCTCCCACCCCCTAGCCGGCCGAGCCCGGGACCCATTGACCTGGGACCCAGGGTCGACCACGCCTGCCGGGGACCCAGCAGAGCCCAGGGACCCAGACCCCACCAGGCAGCCACTGGGATTGGTCAGGCAGATGCCAAAAGTCTTAAACTCCCTGACCCGGGAGCCACGACCCAGGCAGACCAAGGCACCGCACTCCACACCAGGTGTGGCAGGGGGAGGGGAGACGAAGATCTATATCATCAAAAGAAGTCCCAGGAGTAGGGAGGAGTCAAAGGCCCCACCTGACATATACAGCCATACACAAACACAGTCACGCACTCCCTCCCTCATGCTCACACATGCACATACAACCCAAGACTTACAAAAATGCACGCCGGACACCCACTCATGCTCCCCATACACACCCTATTCACTCTGGTCCCGGTACTGCTGCACATGGGGTACAACCATCACCGGTAACCAGAGTTTGACCCTTTCTGCTGGGGTGCTGATGAGCAGGCTCCTCCGCCCAACGCTGAGCACAGCAACTCATCACTGAATATTTGTGCTGACTTTCCACAACAGAATGATTGTAAAAGTGTCAGAAACATCTTTAGATCTATTTATGTTTATTTTCCACTAATAACATCTCACTGAAAACAGATCCATGCTTTTTTGCAAGTTTTTTTCTTCTTCTTGATTTCAAATCTCTTATATAACATGTAGGGAAGACGTGCCTAAAGGGTTTAGCCTGTATGCACCTGAAACAACAACCGCAGTACCTTGTCTGTGAGAATATTCTTTAGGTTAGAATGGACCTGTCTAATTACTGGGAAAGCGGTTTTTGACCAACACTTGAACTCAACTCCCCCCCCAAAAGAACACAAGCCTCGGGAAACATCAGTGAAGGCTGAAACTGAAAGGAAACAAACCTGCTAAAGTTCTATACAGAAAACTGACGTATCTGGAGGGGATTTTGATGATTTTACAAACTTTAAGCTCCAGTCGCAGCGAGATGTTGAAGCGACAGTTGTAGTGGCGCCGTGATACCAGCAACCGCAGCGTGTTTTCCCCATCGACATATAAATATTGGACAATGGGTTTCCATAGGCTCCAACAACACATTTTTTAAGATAAATGGGAGGTGGCCACCACCGCCATTTTGACTGTGTCACAGGTTCCGTCAAGCCCAGACAATTCCACAAAAGGGAAGAGCGGTGGAGCTGAGGGTGGGGCTGTAAGGCTGGGATCAACCGGTCGAACTAGCTACAAGCTAACCCAAAGCTAACGCGGAGGTGGGAGCTAAGCTAACGGAGTTAGCAACCTAGCTACAACCGGAGTTAACTGTGCAAAACACCAGAGCTTCTGAGTCAGAGATACGCCGGGCTGACCGCTGGGTAAAACTGGGTGGAACACAGAGGTCTCCCGAGAGCTCCACAAGCCAGCAGCCATACAGCAGACAAGCACCGCTGCGATCTGAAATGTGCAGAGCTGCCGCTGGGGAGAACCGGGTGGAAAGGTTTCCATCCCAGAGCTCCACAAGCCGGCAGCCCGCGCAGCAGACAGAAGCCGCAATCAGACAGAGATGCGCCGAGCTGCGGGGAGGGGAGAACCGGGTGGAAAACAGAGTTCTCTCGAGAGCTCCACAAGCCGGTAGCCGGAATCCAGCTCCACCAACATGTTATATTTCAACCCATTTTCTAAAGTGCAGCATTATGTTAAATGCACTGGGTTTTACCCTATTACATTTAAATTTCATGGTTAAACAGTACATGTTAAAATCTAAGCTCAGCTCGGCAGTGACCTAAAATACATACATATAATTTTACTTACCGAGAAAATGAAGTGGAGACTCTTTGTACGCTCTTTTAGTGCAATTAATGCCACTGCAAGTCATTTTGTCCAACAATTGCACAAAAAATATCCAAAAAAGAATACACACACACAGAGACTCAAAATCCTGGAACAGTTTCCAGGCCAGACCGAGGCTCTTCCACGGAGCTAGCTCTGTGGTCACGTGGGTATGATGCTCATTAATTATACAGAATTTTAGGCTTTTAATACACTTAAACAGAAGAGTGAGAAAAAAATTCATCCCCCTCAGAGTTGTCATGAGTGTAAACTAGATCATTTAAACAAAAAACATGTTTTGGAACCAGGCTGTAAACATGTTTATTTCTGCTGTGAATTTGGTATTTTTAACATGGGAGTCAATGAGGATTTGCTCGCTTCTGACACCAGCCCCCAGTGGATGAGGGTGGAACTGCAATTTTTGTCACTTCCGCGTTAGCCTCAATTTTTCACCCGCATTGTGGGGGCTTGGTTATCCCCTAGCTGTCTCCGTGACTGTGATTGGTCAAATGGCGACTCGTGACCCACTAACAAAGATGGTTTGTGAAGAGGATGAACACTCATTTTTCGGAAACTGATTCTTATGAGGAGTGACTGAAACCCGACCAAAGACTCACCTTCCCTAAAACAAAATCTCTTTGATTCATGTGAACGTATTTGGTTTCATAAACGGCAATTTTCGCTGAAAAGCGTCAAGTTTGCAAGTATTAGACGAACGCATTTTAAAATCACGTCAATACGAACCAAATTTAAGTCTTTACTAAATTGATTTAAGACTTTTTAACTGTTAAGGGTCTTAATTTTCCTTTCATGAAATTCAAGACTTTTAAGACCCCATGGATACCCTGTTTATTCATGGCTGTTCTGAAGCTAAACTGAGAGGGAGTCCATTATCTTGTCTCAGAAGACACCTGCCCCAACCAACCACACACACACACACACACACACACACACACACACACACACACACACACACACACACACACACACACACACACACACACACACACACACAGTTTCAGGATGTTTTCCTACAGTCCTCAGCAGGGCCGGATTATCACTGCAGGGGCCCCTGGGCACAATGTGCTTAGGGCCCCACCCCCCACCCCACTCGGCGTCCCCCAACATTACTGTCACCCAGGTGGACTTTTTAGACATTTAATAACATTGTCAATATTAAAAATTGCTTACTTATGCTGATACAAAAGCATTTACCTCCAGGTCAAAATAGTTTTATAACCTAATCACAAACACTCATACCTGATGATTTTTCTGTTGTGCCTCACTTGTCTTTCTTCCTCTGTCCTCTCTCTTTTCTCTTCTTTTTCTGTTTCTCTCTTCCTCACAGTGCTCCTGTCTTCTCTTCTGTCTGTAATAACAAAAATGTTGTCGACCTGTGGGACAGTGGGGGCAAGAGTCTTGCTGAAAAAGAGATCCCACTGTCACACTACGACAGAAAGTAATGCCGATTATTTAAAAGATTATACAGTTATTGAAAAGTTTGCAAAGATGAAATATCTGCATGTTTTTGTTTGTCTCCTGTCTTCTTCCTCCTCTTGTCTCCTGTCTCCTTCCTCCTCTTGTCTCCTGTCTCCTTCCTCCTCTTGTCTTCTGTCTCCTTCCTCCTCTTGTCTCCTTCCTCATCTTGTCTACTGTCTCCTTCCTCATCTTGTCTCCTGTCTCCTTCTTCCTCTTGTCTCCTGTTTCCTTCCTCATCTTGTCTCCTGTCTCCTTCTTCCTCTTGTCTCCTGTTTCCTTCCTCATCTTGTCTCCTGTCTCCTTCTTCCTCTTGTCTCCTGTTTCCTTCCTCATCTTGTCTACTGTCTCCTTCCTCATCTTGTCTCCTGTCTCCTTCTTCCTCTTGTCTCCTGTTTCCTTCCTCATCTTGTCTCCTTCCTCCTCTTGACTCCTGTTTCCTTCCTCGTCTTGTCTCCTGTCACCTTCCTCGTCTTGACCCCTGGCTCCTTCCTCTTCTTTTTGTTTCCTCTTGTTGGTCTCCTCTCTTGCCTTCAGAAAAACTTCTTTCTGGCCTTTCTATTAGTAAATTCATTTACAATGTCATCAAAGTCCATATTCCTGACAAGCTGAGATTCAATAGCCATCAGTGACAGTGCACTGAGGCGCTGTTGACTTTGTGTTGTTCTCAGTTCATTTTTTATTCTTGCCATTTGTGAAAATGATCGTTCCCCTTCACAATTTGTAGGTAGAATTAGAAAAATCCACAGGGCCACAAACACATTAGGGAAGATGGACTGTAGACTATCTTTTAGCTCGAAAACGATCGACTCTGCTGGGATTATTTTGAGCGGAGAGGTGCAAAGCTCTGATCGTTGACATGCTCCAGACAGATGCATCCTGAGCACGGCCACAGTAACATTATCAAAGTGTCGCCACCTCAAAAACAAATTTAACACGCGATCGTTCATGTCGGCTCATATCCTTTCATGCTTTCTGTCTTTTATTTGTGTCTGATGTGTTTCGCTGCTGCGGAGCAAGCGCATAACCTGTTTCATCCTCCGGTGACTTCACTGCACCAGTGTGGCCGGCGCTCAGCGCGCACTCCGCTATTTTTGCGGTCCGTAGATCTTTTAGAACTGCAGTTCAAAGGTAACTCATGAGGTGAAAATATGAAGCCAGGTAGCAGTTTTCTTCAGGATTGAGAGGAGATGCAGGAAGATAATAAACACAGGACAGAAAAATAGTCAAATAAAAAACAAGTTAGTTTTTGTACCTGGTGGTTGCAGCAAACAGACACCATTGAAGGTAATCAGAAGTGAGGAACAGAAAATTAAATGATTCTCTCAATGTTTAGAGCAGCAGGAACTCTGAGAGGCTGCAGGCGCACCAGTGAGTTTGCGGCCACTGCGCAGGGGGAGGGGGGAGAGGGCTGAAGCAGGCAGTAAAGATGCAAAAACTACCGTTGTTAAAAGAAATGTGTGTTAACTTAGAAAATGCGGGCGCAATTTTAATTGTTAACTTTTTTCTCCAACGTTAAGACTGCTGCTCGCGTGGGCCCCCTTGTGGCTGTGGGCCCCTGGGCCTGTGCCCAGTTTGCCCATATTATAATCCGGCCTTGGTCCTCAGCAGTCCAGTCCCTGGACCTTCAGCAGTACATCAGTCTGTCCTTGATGGGTTTCATGGACATAAGGAACCACTTAGCTGCCCTTTTTGACCCTAGACCATCCTACAGAGGTCACTCCTCACTGAGCTGCAGATGGACTCAGCCCTGCTTACTGGGATCTGCTAAATCTGGGCTGATGTGGTCTATAAACACCTGTGCAGCCAGTCGCTCACCACCACATTTATGCAGAACTTGTTTTATCCTTGTCATGCATCTAGCTCTCACCCTCATGTCTTTGTGCTGCAGATCCATACAGAGCATTTGAGGGTTTGCAAGCAGATGAGTGTGGGATCCTGAACGGTTGTGAGAACGGTCGGTGTGTCCGTGTCCAGGAGGGTTACACCTGTGACTGCTTTGACGGATACACGTTGGACCTGTCCCGCATGTCCTGCATGGGTAGGACAGCACACGCAGGAACAGAAGAACTTCTTACACGTGGTCGCTTTCTATTGTTTCCTCTGGTTTCTCCACAGACGTGAACGAGTGTTCGGAGCTGAACAACCGCATGTCGTTGTGTAGGAACGCCAAATGTATCAACACCGTGGGCTCCTATCAGTGTGTGTGCCTGCCGGGCTTCAAGGTGTCTGACAAACCCAACTACTGTGTGGAGGCAGAAACACACCAAGCTCGCACACAGTGAGCATGGATGAGACAACAGAACCACACACACACACACACACACACACACACACACACACACACACACACACACACACACACACACACACACACACACAAACGTTTTGATATACTTGTGAAGACATCCTCATTAAGTTTAGCTTCTGAATCCCAGAGAGCAGAGCTGGCCAACGGCACGGAGACGACATCTTAAGGGTTAACACACGAGACGATCAACAGGCGATTTCTGACACCTGTGGGCCAACTAGGGCTGGGCAATATGGAAACCGTTCCCATCACAATATCAATTTTCATATCGGTCATAAAGCAAATCACTGATTTTGTCCATCCCTAAAGTTCTTCGGTACTCTACATTTAAATTTAATGGTTAATTTCATTTTAAAGTTTATTTTCAAAAGCTGAACTTGTCATCAAACATTAAAATGTTGTGGATTCATTAAAGATTTCAAAAGATCGATATCATGCTATTTTAAACAGTATATGATCAAATATTTATTTCATTAACACGTTATTTCGTCAGCCTGAATTTAGACCAGGAAATAAAACGCTTTGTTTCAGTGAAGTTCCGCCCACACCTACTCCAACCACATGTGCCTACAACCAGAGCCGGATTAAATAAATGGACTACACTAGGCAGGCTGCATTTTTAGCCCCCCCCCCCCCCCCCCCCTCCATCGATGTTATGTAATGAATTGAAATCTGAAACTTACAAAATTTACTTATAAAAGTTCATTCACATTTTACATAGCCTAGTTTTTGGTTACAAATTGGTTATTTGTATGCCAAAATAAGTCATGTGTTGTAGGCTGTTGCCTCTGCTGAATCAGAAATTCTGTGTCAATTTTCTGAGTGTGAACTTATTGTTTTGCTATTTGAACATTAATAAAATTATTTGACAAATAATTAATAAAACCAGCAACACTTACCAAGGAAACCATTTAGCATTCTCTACTCCGGGATAATCTTCAGCCTTCCAGCATCACATGGCCTCAGTCACAGCAGAAACACGCCTAAAGAAATGTTCCTTGGTTAAGCTTCAGTCTATGTCTCCAGATTTCCTCTGTGATGCAGAAGAATATCCAATATTTTGAGAGGGATAGTTTAGTGCAAAGTACTCATCAGTTTGGTACCACTTTGCAGGATCAGATGGGTAGCTAGTTGTTAATACCCTGTCTGGGTCTAGAGGCTCCTATAAGACTATATTGGGCTCACTTCTGGCTGGCTGCTGTTCTTCCAGTTTGTCCTTCTGTGAAGGCGCTGATGTTGACGGCGTTGGCGCTACATCGTCTTCCGCCGCATCTTCCACTGCGTCTTCGGGTTGTGTCTCCTCCGGGTCTTGCTCGGGCCCGGCCTCTGGCTCTGCTGACTCGAGCATGTTCACAGCTGTCGGACGGCTGCCCGAGCAGCCCGACAGAAACTTCTGTAAGGCCCCCCGCTGTCTCTTCTTTAGTTCCTCTTCATTTTTTTTTTTTTGCGTTTTGCCACACCCGAAAGCATCGTGAAAGTTAGCCTACTCAAAAACACCTGCTAGCTTTGTTGTGTCCCGCTCTGACTCTGACCGCTTCTCTGACGTCCTTCATTGGGTGGCGCCTTAACCCTCTGGGGTCCAGGGTGTAATTTGCCGTCAGTTTTCCTTTGTATTTCCAAAATAAAAACCATAACCACTACCTTATGTGGTATCAATCTTTTCAGCACAACCTGGACTTTATGAATCTATGCTTATTTTTTATATTTGGACATAAAGGGGTTGCATATTAGACCTTAAATCACTCAAAAACATAAAATCTGAATAGGAAAAAAGTTGTTTATTTTACTGTGAAACCAACAAACATTTATGACGAATGTTTTTTATCATTTAGACTGGTAATCTAGACTGTACATTTATAAAAAATATGACTAAATATAGCAAATAACTAATTTAAAAAAATTATTAGCTCTCTGGGATCCAGAGTGTAAATCACCGTTTTTGACTCATTTTGGTTTGTCTTTTGTATTTTCTAATAAAAACAATAAATATTGCCTTATGGGGTATCATTAATTTCAGGACAGCCTGGACTATCTGAATTTATACTTATTTATTAATTTGGCAATAATATACATGGATTTTGGAGAGAGAAGAGTGGCTCCGTCTCACGCCGAGATCTGACAGCTGCGCGGCGCCGCCCACTCCTCTTGTTGGATCTCTGAGGAGCTGGATCTCTTCCTTCATCCTCTACCTCATCATGACCCAACTCTTCTATGAGGAAGGATGGATTTGCCACATCGTCATCAACATCCTCGCTATTTGCCTCAGACTCCGGCTGCGAGTCTCCGTCCACTTCCTCTGCTTCCAGTTCTAAAAACAGCCGTACTATCTGAACTGCCTGGTGGACATTTATCCTTCTCATCATCCTTTATATAAGCCTAATAAAAGCCTACTAAACTGCAGCGACAATATATCTGTCCGGATCGCTCCAAAATACAAAGTTTACCGTCAATATCTGTCTAATTGTTTGTTGTTACTCCGTTCGCGCCACTACTTTCCCTGCGAAGCGGCTCCTTTTTGCGCACATCTCGCTACTCGTGCAGCCTTCCTTTCTCTCTCTCAGCTACATAATACTTTTTGTCAGCTGAATATGTGAGACTTCCACCAACAGCAAAAGGATCTCGTGTTTTTGTGGGTTTTTAATGTTCACAAGCACATTCCCGCTCACAGATTACTAAACCGCTGTTTTGACAAGTTATCAGATTGTCTAAAAATAGGTCATTTTTTAGTTTAGTATAACTCCGCTTTTACGTAGCCTATTAACAAAATTTAAAAACTGGGGTGTAGTTTATAATCTCCTTTTTAAAGCCGAATTGAAACCGAAACTCAGGGAGGCGGAGTCTTGCTGCTACAGCGTCCCAAATCAGACCTGTTCAAAAGACGCGTATACTTGTCCGTATACTTGACCTTATAAAGGACCCAAAGCTCCATGGTGCCGCCTCAGCTTTGCAGCAAAGTAACTCCGTAGTTTGAGGAAAAAGGTTGGAGTTGCGGGCAAATTTAATCAATCTTTCCTTGATTGTTGGCTGATTAAGAAGAACAACGACCGGCTTCTTCTCTTTATCTAACCCAGGATGGAAGCGGTGCTGTTGCATGTTGGTAGTGTTACTGTTGTATTTTAGTTTAGTTTTACACAACTTTCCTTTAATCCTGACAAGTATTCTCACGCTCAGCGGCTGAAACTAGTGAACAAGCTTCCGCCATTGCTGCTTTGACCACTGGTCAGTCCCTAGTGTCCGGGTAGCACGCGTAACTTTATGTTCCTGCCACGCTTTGCAGCTGTTTTTCAGCATTCGTTCATAATCATTTATAAATGTTTAGAAAGTGATTTTTATTCTGCCCATGTCACATAGTGATCCCTCGATTAAACCGCCCGGAACGGAGAACGTAGTACTGTCTATTTGCATTCTACCACCTGTGCCATTATTTCTGGATGCGTCTACTGGGACCACTGACTGTAGAAAGAGCACACATTACTTTTTGCTAGTCTGTTTATGTCTGCACAACAGACACACCAATGAACCAGTTAAAGCAAGTTTAGACAGCGTGTTGGTTAGTTTAGCTGGGGTGCTCGGTAGAGCTGAGGAAAATAATCTAATCTATACATTAAGATGTGGTCATTTATGGTTATGAATCTTTGAATAAGTACACTATACTCGATTATAGCGACTAGCCGCTAGCATTAGCCACTAGCATGCTCCGTCTGTAAGCAGTTGCATGCATTCTCACTCGTCTGCTTAATCAGGGAACCTCCAATATTCTGCTCTAAAATTTGTATTTGGCTTTGTGGCTTCTATTATTTGGGGATGTTCATTCATGTTTTAGCTAGCCTTTTTACTCTGGCTGCTGATTGAAGCTTTGTCTATACCAAACCCCTCCCCCGCATGGTCAGGAAACATCTACATAGAGCCATGAGGCACATAGGATTCATGAGATAAGGATGCACCATGAATTTAGCTTAACATGATAGATTTTTTTCTCTGCATAAGACATAGTTAATGGTAATTATATGGATGATGGGATATGAGCCACCTCTAGATGAAAATTAAATAATTTTGTATTAATTATAAATATATAATTTAATAAAATTAAATAAAAAATTTAACACATGTCAATTTACGTATTTTACTGGTAAATTACTTCCAAAGTGTCTGAATTGTCTAAACAGAAATAATCGTGATTTTGCAAAAACAAAATCGTGATATGATTTTTTTTCCATGTAGCCCACACCCTACTTTCGCGTAGTTAAAATCAAGTATATTGCTGCCCTAATGCTACACTAACATTAGCTGTTACTAGCGTGTCCATCTGACTGCTACTGAGCCGTGTAGCTCGTCTTCATATAAAAGTTCTATCAACCTGTTCTCACGTCTGTTGAGGAAAAGTTATTTTGAAATATATCTTTTTATCGCTCAGCCCTAGAGAACCAAGCGGTGAATTGGGCAACATGGGGCCAGCAGTGAGTTAGTAATGCTAACTCCATCATCCAAGTGTCTTGATAATGGAACCATTGAGATGAAACCACAAAATCTTTTCAAATGTTGAGCTGTTCTGTGTGAGCTAAAAACCTCTGAGTGCATATCCAGCTCTGTTCTCTCGTCACCTATCTACGCCCACCTACATCTGACTACACCCATCTACACGACTACAGAAAGTTAGCTACACCCGTCCACACGACTAAAGAAAGTTAGCTAGACCCGTCGGCACGACTACAGAAAATTAGCTAGACCTGTCTACACGACTACAGAAAGTTAGATACACTCGTCTACACGACTACAGAAAGCTAGCTACGCCCGCTTATACGACTACAGACAGTTAGATACACTCGTCTACATGAATACAGAAAGTTAGCCACACCCGTCTACACGACTACAGAAAGTTAGCTAGACCCTTGTACACGACTACAGAAAGTTAAATACACTCGTCTACATGACTACAGAAAGTTAGCTAGACCCGTCTACACGACTACAGAAAGTTAGATACTCTCGTCTACACGTCTACAGAAAGTTAGCTAGATCCGTCTACACGACTACAGAATGTAAGCTACGCCTATCAACACAACTACAAAAGGTTAGATACACTCATCTACACAACTATAAAAAGTTAGATACACCCATAGTCTTGTAGATGGGTGTATCTAACTTTCTATAGTCGTGTAGACGAGTGTACGCCCGTCTACAAGACTACGGAAAGTTGGCTACGCCCTTCTACAAGACTACGGAAAGTTAGCTACACCCATCTACACAACTACAGAAAGTTAGCTAGACCCGTCTACATGACTACAGAATGTAAGCTACGCCCATCAACACAACTACAGAAGGTTAGATACGCCCGTCTAATAGACTACAGAAAGTTAGCTGGACCCGTCTACAAGACTACAGCAAATTACCTACGCCCGTCTACACGACTACAGAAAGTTAGCTACACCCATCTACACGACTACAGAAAGTTAGCTACACCTGTCTACACGACTAGAGAAAGTTAGCTACAACCGTCAACAAGACTACAGCAAATTACCTACGCCCGTCTACATGACTACAGAAAGTTAGCTACACCCGTCTACACGACTACAGAAAGTTAGCTACACCCGTCTACACGACTACAGAAAGTTGGATACACTCGACTACACGACTACAGAAAGTTAGCTACACCCATCTACACAACTACAGAAAGTTAGCAACACCTGTCTGCACGACTACAGGAAGTTAGCTACACCCATCTACAAGACTACAGAAATTTAGATACACCCGTCTACAAGACTATAGAAAGTTAGCTACACCCGTCTACATGACTACAGAAAGCTAGCTACGCCCGCTTATACGACTACAGACAGTTAGATACACTCGTCTACATGAATACAGAAAGTTAGCCAGACCCGTCTACACGACTACAGAAAGTTAGCTAGACCCTTGTACACGACTACAGAAAGTTAAATACACTCGTCTACATGACTACAGAAAGTTAGCTAGACCCGTCTACACGACTACAGAAAGTTAGATACTCTCGTCTACACGTCTACAGAAAGTTAGCTAGATCCGTCTACACGACTACAGAATGTAAGCTACGCCTATCAACACAACTACAAAAGGTTAGATACACTCATCTACACAACTATAGAAAGTTAGATACACCCATAGTCTTGTAGATGGGTGTATCTAACTTTCTATAGTCGTGTAGACGAGTGTACGCCCGTCTACAAGACTACGGAAAGTTGGCTACGCCCTTCTACAAGACTACGGAAAGTTAGCTACACCCATCTACACAACTACAGAAAGTTAGCTAGACCCGTCTACATGACTACAGAATGTAAGCTACGCCCATCAACACAACTACAGAAGGTTAGATACGCCCGTCTAATAGACTACAGAAAGTTAGCTGGACCCGTCTACAAGACTACAGCAAATTACCTACGCCCGTCTACACGACTACAGAAAGTTAGCTACACCCATCTACACGACTACAGAAAGTTAGCTACACCTGTCTACACGACTAGAGAAAGTTAGCTACAACCGTCAACAAGACTACAGCAAATTACCTACGCCCGTCTACATGACTACAGAAAGTTAGCTACACCCGTCTACACGACTACAGAAAGTTAGCTACACCCGTCTACACGACTACAGAAAGTTGGATACACTCGACTACACGACTACAGAAAGTTAGCTACACCCGTCTACACAACTACAGAAAGTTAGCAACACCTGTCTGCACGACTACAGGAAGTTAGCTACACCCATCTACAAGACTACAGAAAGTTAGCGAGACCCATCTACACGACTACACAAAGTTAGATACAATCGTCTACATGACTACAGAAAGTTAGCTACGCCTGTCTACACGACTACAGAAAGTTAGCTACGCCTGTCTACACGACTACAGAAAGTTAGCTAGACCCGTCTACACGACCACAGAAAGTTTGCTAGACCCGTCTACACGACTACAGAAAGTTAGATACACTCGTCTACACGACTACAGAAAGTTGGATACACTCGTTTACACAACTACAGGAAGTTAGATACACCTGTCTACAAGACTACAGAAAGTTAGATACACTCGTCTACACGACTACAGAAAGTTAGCTACGCCTGTCTACAAGACTACAGAAAGTACGCTACGCCCGTGTATACGACTACAGAAAGTTAGCTACAACCATCTACACGACTACAGAAATTTAGCTACACCCATCTACAAGACTACAGAAATCTAGCTACACCCGTCTACAAGACTACAGAAAGTTAGCTACGCCAGTCTATACGACTACAGAAAGCTAGCTACACCCATCTACAAGACTACAGAAAATTAGCTACACCTGTCTACAAGACTACAGAAAGTTAGCTTCACCTGTCTATACGACTACAGAAAGTTAGCTACACCCATCTACAAGACTACAGCAAGTTAGCTACACCCGTCTACAAGACTACAGAAAGTCAGATACGCATATCTATACGACTACAGAAAGTTAGCTACACCCGTCTACAAGACTACAGAAAGTCAGATACGCACATCTATACGACTACAGAAAGTTAGCTACACCCATCTACAAGACTACAGAAAGTTAGCTATGCCTGTCTATACGACTACAGAAAGTTAGCTACGGCCATCCACACGACTATCGAAAGTTAGCTACAACCGTCTACACGACTACAGAAAGTTAGCTACACCTGTCTACAAGACTACAGCAAGTTAGCTATGCCCATCTACAAGACAAGAGAAAGTTAGCTACGCCTATCTACAAGACTACAGAAAGTTAGCTACAACCGTCTACACGACTACAGAAAGTTAGCTACGGCCATCTACACGACTACAGAAAGTCCATTAGGAGGCTTTGGGATCCATCTCTTATTTTAGATGTTTCTGGTGTTAGAGTGAACCTTTTAGTCCAGTCAGATCTGTTTGATTGCAGCTTAGCAGCAGAATAAATAATTTCTTCTAAAGCCTTTTCTACAGTCATGTTAAACATAAAAGTAGGACCAAACTAAAGGTTTAGCTTTCTAATCACCGATGGTTTGGTTCTGACCAGTTAAATACAAACTAACATGAACAGATTAAATATTTATTAGTCTTCTCTTCAGTTTGCCGACTCTTTTTGTGTTATTGTCTGGCTTTACTCATCTCAGATTGATTTTTAGACCCGAGAAGGACCAGGATCAGTTTTAGCACATTTTTACATTTCTACCAAAAATATTTATTATACCTGTTTGAGTGACTATATGCATGGTTTATTATCAGAATCTGTATATACTGTAGACTGAGATGGGTCATTTTAAGTAGAGGTGACCTTTTTTTTTTTAAAAGAAATAATAAAAACTTAGGTGAAGTTGTTTTTTATTTACTTCTCCCTGCCAGGACCTTAACCTCCTGAGACCCAGCACATTCAAACGATAAATATTTTTTCTTTTCAACTGAAACCGGTTCTATTATTTAGAGACACCAGATTCTTATTTTTTAAATGCTTTTTTTTTTTTTTTTTTTTTTTTAGGAAATGTAGTAACATTTAATTAATAAAAACATTTCAGGTTGAGGTTCAACTAATCTGAAATTTAAAAAAATGACATGTGGGTCGCAGGAGGTTGAAATTATACACACACACACACACTCACTCACACACCTAATCTGCTCTGCACTGTATAAGATACACAGGAAGTGAAACACGCTGCAGCATTACTTGATGAAGATTCAGCTTTTTCTACTTGTTGGACTGAAACTCGACTGTATAAAATGTAAGTTCTGTTTATTTCTTTTTTAAATGTCGCCTTTATTTTGTCTCAGAGGAGAGCTTTATGTGACAAACCCGCCTTTCGGACTCGTGCAGGGGGATGCAGGTTGTATTTTGTACCCAGTCAGACTGATTTTGGATATTTAATTGTGTGAAGATGCCAGCACGGCGCTCGGCTCCGCCAGACCTTGTTTCCACACGGAGACGCTGAAGGGAACAGCTTTTGGTTTGGTTTTTGTTGACTGGAAAACCAGATGTTTCTTACTAAAAGTAACACGAAGGCTGTCTCCTGTCACCTGTTTCATAAAGAGACTGAAATCAATTCCCAGCTCCTCTTTTCTGCGTTCATCTACAAAGCTGCTAGGGGATGGGACAGCCACGGCGGAGAAGAGCCTTGTGTCCGTTTAAGCTACAGATGAGAAAACAGCTGCTGTTTTTGACATTTGTTCATGAATTAATAACTTTTTCTATGAATTTCTATCACAGTGTTCATTAAACTTTGGTAATAAAAGTTTGTGATTTTTAATTCCACTTTCTTGTCCATCTTTCTTTCACTTAAAAAGGAAGTTATATGTTTTCCTTTAGGCAGGAAGGAGAAATACCCAGAGTGTTGTGAAAGGTGGGTTTGATCCCAGAAAGGACTGAGCTGCATCTTCGGCCGTAAAGGAGGAGATGAATAAAACGACACCAAGTGGAATAAACCAGGCTAACTTGGAGGAAGCTGCAGCTGCAAATGGACCAGGATGGGTGTGGAAAATCCACCCAGCTGCTGCAGAGGACCAAGATCGTCTTTCATAATGTGACTAATGAAGATCCAACTGGGAGTCAGGAGGCCTGTCTTACCTGTTCATTCACTCACATCAGGTTAGGCACAAACACCCAGTGGAGATGGATACAGCCAGTCTTCAGCCTGATTTATACTTGTGTGTGTGCGTGCGGTAGTAGAGACACGCAACATCATGATGCATCGGCGCAGGAGCTCTCCAACAGGCCCACAGAGGGAGGCGGAGTCCTGGCCCTATTTTAACTGTGACACTGCAAGCCTGTGGTTGGTCAGGATACCACTTCCATTTTATTTGTCAACAGCACCGCCGTTCCCCCCCTCACAAAATAATACGAGTGCTGAACATATCTAGCAGCAAACACGGGCAGATCGGAGAATGTCTCTCGGAAAAAGTCTGATGACAAACGTTAACACACCCGTGACTGAAGGAGCACAAAGATACGGGTCCAATGATCTCCAAGCTCGTTGTTGACAGCAACCATAGCCTATGTACAAGAAAACAGTTAGCATGCTTTTCACCAAGAAACAACTGAACTAAAAAATATCAAACATCTTTACTGAAGGGGTAAAACTTTACATTGTCCAAGAATTCAAGTATCTTTGGGTAACTCCGGGCCCAACATTAACTTTAAAAATCACATAAATGAGAACAAAAAAACACATTTAATGTGCAAAGTTTTAAACAGTCAGACCTGTTTCGTCCCTCCATGCTGCTAAGTTGTTTTTACATTCTATGATGTCGTCTCACATGGGACAGTGTAACTTCCGGGTCACATGCTGCTGGTGCAACACTCAGACCCATAGAAGCTCTTTTAAAAAAGCCATAAAAATCCTCCATAAGGCTTTTAGTTTCCACCACTGCTTTGTTTTAGATAAATATAGACTTCTTAGATCATGGTCTCCAAGTGGAATGTCCACCAGGGCCGCAGTTAAGAGGAGACTATGAGGTGCCTTACAGGCGCACTGCTTTTGGAACGCCCACACCACCCGTTAACGGGACTAAATATTGGAACAAATTACCACTCAGCATAAGAGACTTAGTCATACAGTTCCTCCAAATTCCTACTTAAACACTTGCTGAAGGAAAGCCAAACCTGTATCCATCAGTAGTGACAAGTTGTGTGTTTTCTTTCTGTTTCCTGGTTTTAAATGTAATACTTCACTTTCTTCTACTGCTTTTATCACCTGCAGATGGACATTAGCACTGGTGCTACAATCTGGCATATTTACTGATATAATTTGTTGTTGAAGTTCATTAATATGCACTGTCCCTATTAAAAAATTAAAATAAATAAAATATGCAGCAAACATTTTATTCCAAAAGGAAATTACAGAAAATTTAGGTTTGGAGGTGGAGACCGCATGATGTGTCTGTTAAAAAGTCTCTGAAACACACAAACACAAAGTACAGTAAACACAACAGCAAACACACTATCGTGGACTGGAGACGTGACTGCAATGGCGACAGGAAACCTCCAGCAAAGCGCTACGCCCTCTGTTGTCCTGGCATGGAATTTCCCCAGGCAATGCAGAAGTCCTAAGGGAAAACGTCTCTGTTAACGCGTGTGCGCAACTCTGCATTCGAGCTGACGGGAGAACTATAAATCAGACTTTATGCATCCAAAACTGACCCAACGACAAGAAGCCAGCCCACTAAGTGGGCCAGGCCTAGCTTAGGGTACAAACAATGACGTATGGGGAGGTTCTGAGCTATTTTACTGACAACCGGGGGTGGGGAGGGTGGGTTCAGAGGTCCAGAATTGTGTGTTTGCTGCACCCGTATCATTGTTTTTTACTACATAAATCAGGTTAACTACTGAATCAATGTCATTTTTGGAGTGTATCAGTGACAAATAGTGTCCAGTGAAGCCCTCCCCTGGAAAAAAGAGCCCGGGTATGAGGTCTGCTCGAGGTGCTCCAGCATACGGGAGGTGGTTACCACAGAGGACTCAGGTCCTCACATGGCTGGTTGGGTTGGACGCAGGTCACAGAAACGCAACATAATATTTAACATACCTGCAACGTTCAAATCTTAGTGAGCTCTAGTATTTTTAGAAGTTATGGTAAATATTATTCCTCCTGCAGACCAAAAACATGCATGTTGGGTTAACCGGACACTAAATTGTCCCTAGATGTGAGTGACTGGTTGTTTGTCTCTGCGTCCCTGTGGTGAACTTTAGACCTGTCCAAAGTACGGTGGACATGAAGTGCAAACCAATTCAGCAAATCACTTAACACAATAAAAAATTACAAAACACTACAACAAATAGAAAAACACAAATTGTGTTTTTGATTTTTAATTTTTTTTTGCAGTTGTGTTTTTTTATATAGTTTTGTTTTTTTAATTTGTAGTTGTGTTTAGTGATTTGTTGATGTGGTTGGCACTTCAGGGCCACCATACCCCCGCCTCTCACCTGGTGACAGATGGAGTTAGACACCAGCTTCGGTTATCCTACTGAGGAAAGATCGTTTTAGAAGATAAGTGGACATTAATATTCAGTGAGAAGGAATTCCTTCCTGCATGGGTTTCCATGTGTCGTTTTAAGGTTGTATTATGGGTAAATGTTTTTCCACAAACACCACAAATAAAGGGTTTGTGTCCGGTGTGGATCCTTGTGTGTCTGTTTAAGGTGATCTTATGGCCAAATCCTTTCCCACAAATATCACAAATAAAAGGTTTCTGTCCCGTGTGGATTCTTATGTGCGAGTTTAAAGATGCCTTTTGACTAAAACTTTGTCCGCAAACATCGCACACAAATAATTTCTCTCCTGTGTGGACTCTTAAATGAGAGTTTAAATTTGACTTTTGTCGAAAGCTTTGTTCACAAAAACTGCATACAAATGGTTTTTCACCAGTGTGGATTCTCATGTGTCTGTTTAGACTTGTTTTAGAGTTAAATCTTTGGTCACACACATTACAACCAATCGGTTTCTGTCCTGTGTGGATGATCATGTGCGAGTTCAAAAGCTTCTTCTGACTAAATCTTTGTCCACAAACATCACAACCAAACGGCTTTTCTCCTGTGTGGATTCTTGTGTGTCTGTTTAAGTTTATCTTCTGGGTAAATCTGTGTCCACACAGATCACAAACAAATGGCCTCTGACCTGTGTGGACTCTCATGTGTGTGTTTAAGTTCGTCTTGCGGCTAAAGCTTTGGCCACAAACATCACAACCAAAAGATTTTTCTCCTATGTGGATCTTCATGTGTGTGTTTAAACTAGTTTTTCTGGTAAAACTTTTACCACAGTCGTCACAACTAAACAACTTTTGTCTTGTCTGGACTTCCCTGTCTGCGTCTACATTTTCACTAACATTTAAACTTTTATTATCCACTAAACTAGAGGACCCTGTTTCTGAACGACTCGCCGTGCGTCTCTGCAGGACCTGGTTGTTAATAAACAGTCTACCAGACTCGGAGCAGCTAAAGGACTTGCTGACAGTGTTTACACCCGACTCAGGAGACCTGCTCTCCTCACACTCACTGTCACTGTCTTCAGTTTTTGACCCAGAGTCTGATAAATGTTTCAGCTGAGAGTCACCATTGTTCGCATCCTCATCCTCACTAACTTCAGTCTCTGAAGAGTTGGAATCATCTTCAAGAGGACTCAGGTCCGGGTTCCTGATCATTTCTGCTTCTCTGCAGTCAGATTCTACTTTTATCTGATCAGCTGAGCTGCTGGTTGGAACATCTCTTTCTTCCACTTCCTGTTGATGAAGACGTGAGAAAACAGGTTTCTCCTCATCCTCACTCTTTACGGTAACTGCAGTGAATGAAATCCTGTTAGCATCAGTCTCCATCCTCCCATTGTGCTGATCTTCCTCCTGACTGCTCCACAGCTCCTCCTCTTCTACCTTTACATGGAGGCTCTCTGGGTCCTGCTGGTCCACACCAGGACTCCATTCCTCAGGAGCTTCTTCTGTATTCAGCTCCATCTGCAGGAAACATTCAGTCACATGTAGATGTTGAACATTTGTCACTTATTATTCACACAAACACCACTCATGCTCAGTTTGACTGCTAGAGCATCATCTCATGCTGGAAGTCAGGACCCTCCTGAAGCCTGATGCAGATGAGACAGATATCCATGTGACTGCTTCCCAGAGGGGTTTAAATCGTTACATGGTAAATAACAGATGGGTTTATATTTACTGTAACTGCTCATTAATAAAAGTGAGTTGGTGGGCTCCACTGACCGCTGGCAACCTGGTGCCGTTTAAATAATTGGGTATTTAACGTGTTTAACTATCAAAATAATGTATAATGATCATTCTGCTGAGAGGAGATAAAGATATGTGGTTCGGCGACCCTAACGCGGTTCTTTAGATCTATGAAAGCTAAACAACAACATACGTTCGTAAAAGGCGGCTAGTCCCGTTAGCCACCTGAACGACTGATGAAGCCCGGAAATTAACAACACTAATCCGTGGGGATGAAGTAACTCTGGGATTAGAAACAGCGTTTATGTTTAGTTTTATTGCTTACTTGTGTTAAA